ACCGCTGCAGACTTCCTGTGCCCAAGAGGAGAGGGATGGGCAGAAGTAGAGACATGGATCTCATGAACGGAAACTGCTTTGGGAGGTGGCAGGGTGGAGGAGGGGAGCAGGTAGGGAACAGGAGGAGGGCTAGGAGGAAGGAGAGAGGTTTCATCAGCTTGCTTGTGTTTTCTGAATGCAAGACTCAAGCTTCCAGCATGTTTTTAAATCCGTCAGATGTGAAAGGCTGTTTTGAATAGACCCATGGGGTGAAGCTGGTAATTCCACTTGCTACAACAGAGAAGAAGGTGGCAGGGCCCTGGCAGGGACACAGAACCTCTGCCCACACCAAGAAAGCTATAGAGCTCTCTGGGGGACACTCAGGCCAGCTGCTTCTCTCTGCAAGATGGGATCTACAGGACGAAGGGGACAGAGGATGGAGGGAGAGGACCTGGGTGATAAGGAAGTGGATGGAACCTTTCCTTTCATCAGGTCTTAACTTGGGTGTGGGTCTCAGGATTCATCCTTTCCATTTCTCCCATTCTTAGGAGCAGGGACCCAGGAATGCTTGCTCCGTTTCTGGTCCGTGCTCTGGGAGGTCAACTCTCCTGGGAGGTACTTCAACCTTATGCTCTGTTTCTTGGCTCTAACCCAACCTCTGGAGCTGCTCAGAGCAAGCTTAATGCCAGCGTCTTCCTCTGCCCTGGAGTATTAGCTCCCCTCTTTATCTCTAGCCTTCCTTTGTCAGTAATGGTTTCAACGCAAGTCTCTTTAAAGCTCAGAAATTCCTGGGTGCTTTTGAATCCGTTTCTGCTGTAACCAATGCAGTAGAATTCCAGGAGCAACAAGAGTCGTCTGTTGATGTCACTCAATACACTCTCATATCTACTCTGAGACCTCTAGATACTCCTGTTGGCATACAGGGATCCCACTGATAGGGGACTTGTCCTAAAATGGTGGAGGCAAATACATAGACAGAAGCTAGTGTATAACATGGATAACATGCATGCCAATAGCCCAGAGGGCTTTCTTCTGCAGGGTCTAGGCAGGAGCAGAGAGTCCGGGTGTTGGAAGATGTCCTCAGGATGGGAAGACTGTAGGTGCCACAGTGACTTGTACATGGCATGTTCCTTATGGGTTTTTATGGGTTTCTTCCTCTCGTGTGTTTTGGATTCCAAAGGCAGAAGTCTGCTTGTTTTCATCTATAACCTCTCAACTCTTCATGTACCCAAAACCCAACTATAAGCACACTTGGGCTGCACTTTTAGATGGGAGAAAACCAATCCTTCCTTCATGTGTAGACTAATGTTCCTAAAAATGCTTTTTTTCCCCTTCTTCTTAAATTGTGATCAAAATAGGTGCAAAATTTAGTTTAAACCATTTAAAAATGTTTAAGTCAATACCTTTAAGTACATTTACAATATCACACAAAGCCACTCCCACTCTCCATTTCTAGAACTTTCTCCCCACCCCATTGTCAGAGTGTTCTATAAACCATGTATATAAAGGTGGGTCATTTTAGAGCATGCTGTCTCAAGAATTTTCAGGGTTATCTACCAAGAAAGAACCTATTCTTGGCCACACCCTGGTAAATACAGAACTGAAAGAGGTCAGAATTCTGCTGGGGACACCTTGTGATTTACGATGCCAGGCCTGCACATGTTCAAAGCACAGCATCAAGAAACACGGCAAACTTAAAGATCCTGAAGAAGCACTTTTCAGTTAGTTCTTCAAGGCTTAATGAGAAGCACCTTTACCCGGGAGCCCTGCTTCCCTTAGTCATCCAGCAGTGTGTCTTCCCCACCCGCTGCCCTCCAATGCTTTGGTCCCTTTCCTGGGAGATAATGTAACTGTGACTTGCTTCGAGCCATCCCGTTAACTAGACTTTCCCCCTGCGTTTTCATTTGTCTTCCTTCCACGTCTACAAGGGTAAAAGAGTGTTAAGGTACAGATGTGTAGGTGGCCTCAGAGCCATCCCAGGGGTTGTTCAAGGCCACAGAGCTTGTATGTAGGACCTTATTCTGAGCAGGCCTTTGGAAACTGGAGAAAGCTTTCAGGACGGGCACAGTGGGGTAGACGAGCTGGTTCCATCCCAGGGTGAAGAGGAGCTGGGCAGGGAAGCATCTGCTGTGCACGGGGCATTGAGCCCAAGTCAATTGAGCTGTTGGGCTGCCCGGGGGTAATGGATTGCCACTAGCAGCTGGGGTGGCTGCGGGGGATGAGATGGAGCACTCTGATGGGCATCACACTGTCTGAAAGGCAATCGAAGCACAGCTGCTGGGATGCTCCCAGGCATGTTGTTTTAAAGCCAGAAGGAGTACCTCATTTGAACCAGCTGAGTCTGCCTCCACCAAGTTGCCCAGCCTGTAGGCCCTGGGCCTTCAGCACTGCAGCTCTCCCTCTGAAGAAATGATTCTGTTCTCTCAATCGCTCGTGTAGACCAAACTGGAGGGGTAAAGATGAATTGTCCCGCCCTTGGGAGCTCAGTGCCATGCCTCTCATTCTCTAGAGCCCTGTGGCCAGTGTTTGAAGAGCAGCACACACCCCGGTTACCCATTGGACTAGCATTATTACAGAGGGGCTGCGAGAGCCCATACTTGTGGCATTGAGCCACAACCCAACACTGCCCTTGACCTAGTGCGCCTGCTTAATAAATCACATTTCCACAGCCACCTTTACAAAATTCATGATGGGGCCCATAGCATTTTGTGTCTCACACCTCTCTATTTCAATTCTTGTTTCCACACTAAAAGTAGCAATCCCATTCACCTTGTCTGTGTTCTTCACTTTTTTTTTTTTTTTTTTTTTTTTTTGCTTAGGAACAGAGGCCTTTATGGGTTGTACTTTTTATAGGTCAGATGGATCCAGTCATAATTCATCATGATGGCACCAGCCTTACTGGTCCTCAGAGTCCTCATTTGTAGGGAAGGGAGCTTCCTTGTACTATGACAAGGCCCCTCTGGATGTGAGCCATAGCCTTGATGAAGTCCCAGCTAAGAACAAGGGTCAGTTATTGGACCTGATTCAGCCAGGATGATAAATGACACCATCTTACCTGTGCTCCTCAGTTTCCACGTTGAGTTCAGGTCCTCTGCCAAGCACCATATGGTTTCCCAAAATCCCAGCAATCCCAGCCATGTTCTTTTAAGTAGGACATTTGATTAAATTGGCCCCATTAAATCATGTGGAAGGTCCTTCAGTGTGGCTGCTCCTGGTAATGAATATGTCCACTAATAGAAACACCACTAGAGGTGGCTAGGGAGGTGCTGGAGATTCAGACTGCTCTGGCATCCTTTCATCCATCCGCAGGAAGGGTGGGGTTAGTCTATAGAGTTGCATCCTGTGGATCCTGGCTTAGCATGAAGAGAGGAGAGGCAGCAAGCTCCAAGGGCAAGGACCAGATCTGGAAGTCAAATAGAGGCTTTGATTCCCAGCAGCAGGCGCCACTTAGTAATTACACTTACAGTGCATATACGCTCTACTTTCATTGTTTTGTAGTAAACTGCTTTTTACTTTTCAATCCTAGGATCTCATTTCCAACCTTCCCATACTTGTCCTCACCTAGTGCCTAGCAGAGCTTTGCATAGTTTCTGTTTATTTTCTTTTGTTTTGCTTTATGTTTGATTGTTTTTTTTTTTTTGAGACAGGATTTCTTTGCGTAACAGCTCCGAGCTGTCCTGGACTACGTGGCTCTGATGCAGGGAGCACATGGGTATCTATCCGAGGACACGGGCATCCCTTCACCTACCCAAGGGACTGAACCTTCCCGGAGGAGCTCATCTCACCCAGGGCTTCCAGGAGCACAGTTGGAGGGCAGAGTTTCACAGATTGAAATTCCATCTTCCCTTGTACAATTCAGAAGAGAGGAGAGGCTGAGAAGGAGCCCAGAGGTGGAGCTGTCCGTGAGCCCAGATCCCTGCTGCAGGGTATACACTATGAAGCAGGAGGGAGGGACTTGATTAGCACACAGGGAAGATTTGAGACTTGAAATCTAAGCTGTTTAAAAATTATTTATGAATTATTATTATCCGTGGGGTGTGTGTGTGTGTGTGTGTGTGTGTGTGTGTGTGTGTGTGTGTGTGTAGCTGGAGTGCACAACAGCCATGCATACATACAGAGGCCAGAAGATAACTTCCAGGAGCCAGTTCTCTTCTTCCACTATGGGTTCCTGGGCTCAGACTCAAGTCATCAGGATTTTGTGGCAAGTGCTTTTGGCCACTAAGCACTCTAAAGGTAAGCCATTTTAAATGTGCCCAGATGACCCACAGGGAAGCCATCTCTGAAGAACTAAAAGGAAGGGTGAGTCATATCTTACCAAGTAGAAGAAATCAACCAGGACAGAGGAATCCAAACAATGAACAATTGAAGTTCTCCATACTGGAGAACACAAAGAAAATGGGATGAGGAGAAACAAATGGAACTTCAAAGACCTGTGGAACTCTCAAGAATACTAACTCTGCATAATGAGAATTCCGGAAGCAGAGGAGAAGGTATGTGAAGAAATAACCACACTTCCCGGACTTATGAAAACTATCAACCAAGTCAATCATCCGAGAAACTCACAGCATCTAGGTAGGATGTATGGAAAGAGATCCATAGTCGGACATCAAAATCCGTGAAAGACAAAGAACTTCGAAAGCACAAAGAGAAAAGTGACATCTTGTCTAAGGGATCCTCAGTGGGGCTAAGCTAATTTCATACCAGGAACTACAGGGCGGGCACCCGACACAGTGGGATGCCACAGTCATAGTGCTGAAAGAGAAAAGGAAGTCAACTAAAATGTTTATGTCTGGCCAAACTATACCCCCCCCAATAGAGTAAACTAAGACATTTCCAGATAATAGAACCTGAAAGACTCACTCTAGCAGGTAGGTCCTTCTGAGAATCACTAAAGGGAGGCCTTTAGGTGAACAGAGAGAGAACCAATAATATGAAAAACATGAAGGAATAAAGCGAACTGGTAGAATTATACAGTTAAATATGAAAGAGAATATAAATGCATTTTTTACGTTATATGCCTTTAAAATAAATATTTTTTATTAATTTTTGATGATTTCATACATACATATATTTTGATCATAATCACTCCAACTGCTCCCAAACCTACTCCCCTCTCAATACTCTTTCCCGAAGGATCCCAGGCATAGCCCGTTTGCTCTATGAAATCCATCCAGTTCCATCTCTTCTCAGAAACAGAGAGGCTGGCTGCCTCCCCATGGTCATCCTCCCTTGTGCCTGCCCCCAGAGAGAGAGAGAGAGAGAGAGAGAGAGAGAGAGAGAGAGAGAGAGAGAGAGAGAGGCAGAGAAAGAGAGAGAGACAGAGAGACAGAGGCAGAGATAGAGACAGAGAGAGACAGAGGCAGAGACAGAAAGACAGAGACAGAGAGAACGCACCACCTCTGGCTGGCTGCCATCCCCCTTCTGCCTGCTCCAAGCCACAAATGTAACCACCACCAACACCCTTCTGCTAGGAAAAGGAGTTTCTGGGGAGTTGTCTCCAATCTGACTGAGAGCTGGGGCCAGCCTATGAAGGAAATGACTTTGTCATCAGAGTCATCACAAGTCATCCTATGTACTGGAGCAGAAAGCTGCCCAGCCTCAAATAACCCATCCTATCTTTAACTGGTAGGGTCTGGGGTGGGAGCTGTCCTGCTGAGATCATGGCACATAGGGGTAGATTCTGTTAAGCATCCTGCATGGGCTCTCTGGTCCCTGCAAATGCTAGATCAGAAAAGGAAAAAAGCCTGCCAAGAGCAGGTGGGCACATGCCTGATAACTACCAGGGCTCTTTGGTAGTGGGGGGGGGGGTCTGAGGAAGGGGCTGTAAACCATGCCTAGGAACTCTAGCTTGCTGTTTCTCCCTGCTTTTTTGGCTGTGTGGAGTTGTCCCTAATACTCTATCCTCTTAATGAGTCACACCTGTTGGGCCACCCACTTTCCCTGGAGCTGGTCCCCAGCTCTTTGGCTGTAGACTTGGAATGTCAGTCACTTGCAAAAGAGACCTCTGTGATCTTCTGGGCAGGACAAGGATGGACTTTTTAGCACTCAGACAATCAGCACTGACCAGCAGCAGGGTGACAGTCAGCGCTGACCAGCAGCAGGGCCCTTGCAGGTTTCAGATCATCCCTGAGGCCAAGCATCCTCTGCTGAAGTCAGTAGCTACAGGCAGCTCACTTCTCAAGTACCGGAAAATGTCAACATCACAGCTGCATTTTAAAGAGTACAATCTCCCAGAATAAAGGAAAATGAAATACAATTAAGCCACTAATTATGGACCTAGTATTGGGACCTCCTCCCTTACCTAGCTGTCAATCCACCCTGTCAATAATCAAATGTGATTTTCCAAAGGGGTATTTAGAGAAACCCACAGAAAACACCCTTTATGCAGTGATACATATCTTACTAAGACCCTACAGAAATGGCCACCCTTCTTCAGCCATACATGGCTTCCTCTTTTGGTTTTCTTTTGGTTTTTCTGTCAAAGTTAAGTAGGAAGCACACCTGTTGTGTGATTCCAGGCATGGAGTTGGCACCCACTATTGACCCTGCAGTCAGAGTTGAGGTTCATCAGGAGCCACACTGCAGAGACCCCAAGCACAGATCCAGTGGCTGTAGCGGTTGCTGGGAGAAGTTGTGATGCCTGTCATTCAGGGACTCAGGAAGAAGCAGGGAGACACTCCAGTGTCTCAAGGTCCCCGACATGTGTGCCAAGAGCAGCTCTCTGGTTTCTGGAGAGCAGGGGCCAAGCAAGACAGTCTACCCCAGTGTCACTCAAATGGAACATCTTTGGCCTTCAAGAAGCATCAGGTTGCCCCTGCGCAGTTGCCGTGGCAACCACAGCGCTCAGAGACTTTTGAGGGCATGGAGAGAGGAGAAAGGAGGTGGAGAAGGCATGTGGTGGTTTTTCTGGAAAAGCCCATCTGCTCCTTTCCACATTGCTGGAGGGGCAGAAGGAGGGAGGAATAGGTATTGGGATACAGATGAGAAGGGGGAGCCGATCTGAAGGTACAGAAAACGGCAGCTTTCTGGCTACAGGTGCTTCCTTCCATTAGGGGAGGCAAATCACCAACAAGGACAAGGCAGGGTGGGTCTTGCCAGGTGTAGCTGCACAGGACTCCAAGTTCTAGGTCAAGTGGCCATGTGATCTTGGCCTTTGCAGAACTGCTGGCTGAAGACGACTGTGGCCTGGTTAGGATGGCTGGGGAGGGTCTACTGTCAACCACAACAGGATTTCTTCTTGGCAGGGGGGCCAACCTGAATGATGTCCTTCCTCACTGTGTCCTCTTGCTCTTTGAGTAACCTTGGCAGTGGGAGATTGGGAGAGAGGAAGAGATGGTGTTAGCAGCAGAGAAACTGCTAGGCTGGGGGCTGGCTCCGGAGACCAGCAACCTTCACCTGAGCACCAATGTTTAACCTCTGACCACACAGGCGCATGACTATAATCACAAGGACAGAGAGATCAGTCACCATGGACTCTTCCTTCATGTCATGGCACCTCCGTAACCAAACCGCCCTTGAGCATCTGTCCCTACCAGCAGCTGTGTGACTGTATCAGTCAGAGCCGCATGCACTTGCTTAAGGACCGAGACTGTGTCTCTGTCTTGGTGACCCCTGCAGCCAGCAGGGTAACAAACACATCTGAAGCTCAGCAAATGCCCATGACTGGTTGCCAACTCTGCAGAGATGGCGCCTGTGGTGGTGGCTGCAGGTTAAACATGGGAGGTGAGAGGTGACAATGACAGGGAAGACCTCCCTCCCTCTGTGCTTTCCAAGCCCTCTCACCAACTGTGCCTCCTTTGATTTTTCACACCCTGTTAGTTAGGCAGGGAAGGTGTGACTAATTCCACCCCCAACCCTCCCAGGCAGGGCTTCTCTGTAGCTTTGGAGCCTGTCCTAGAACTCATTCTGTAGACCAGGCTGGCCTTGAACTCACAGAGAACTGCCTGTCTCTGCCTCCCAAGAGCTGGGATTAAAGGAGTGCACCACCACCACCGCCCAGCATGACTGATTTTCTTACACTCCCAGTGTAGTCAGTGAGTCAGTATCAGAGCAAGGTCTAGAACTTTCCCCCTCAGTATATGCCATAACCCATAGCCTCTCTAATATGTAAAAGACTTGTTCTGGGGTTTTGAATTACTCAAAGTCAGGTACTTTCGGATGCCCCAGTGTGAGTGCTGAGTATAACAGGGCAGCGTTGGCTGGAGGAATGGACAGAAGCTTGAGTGTTGAACACCCCCCCTCCCCCGTGTAGTTTGGTTTCCCTTATGTTTGGTATAGTCAGGCGCTTGGGGCCTTTTTACATGGCCAGGCCTTCCAGCCCCATTCCTGCCTCGATGAGAGTCCTGCTTGTTTTACTTTTACAGAGCCCCATGGTTCCTCACTCTCCAACCAAGAGCCCATAATGTGAACTCCACTTGTTCCAAAGATTGCTCTCAGCCAGTCTCATTGTAGCATCAGCCAGTGCTAAGGGGGGCTTCTGATAGGACACTATGCAGGTGCATTTTCTGGGCAAATGGCAGCCTCTGAGACGGAAGGGGACTGACCACAGTAGAGGCGACAGGCAGCCGTGATTTCTTCCCATCACTACTGTTTCAGAAGGCTGCTGTTGACTCCCAACATTCCCCTATAAAGTCCTAGTTATGCCTGCACTCAGGGGCTCAGGAAGACATAAAAGGGGGCTCAGATAAAGCCTGAACGGGTGCTGGGGAGGGAAGGCAGGCGACAGCTGGGCTAACTGCAGCTGGGCTCAGCAGTGTGTTTCACTGACTGGGTGCCCTTCGTACCTGGCCAGGTGGAGCAAGGACTCTTGGGTGTTGTGACCGGAACAGGCGCTGCATTCATAGAAGATCAAATTGTTGTCCTGGAATCACAGAGCAGAGAGGGCATGTGGAGGGAACTGGAGGAGTGTGGGACAAGAGGAAGCCGAGGAGAAGGCCCAGCCTCCTCTCCTGACCTGGCTGGTTTCTTTCTCCTTAGGTTCCTAATGGGTGCTGGTTCCATATGGCGATATGGGCAAACCATAACAAAGCTATGACAAGAACCTGGTGTGGGCTTGTGCCTTACACTTTCTTGAAGCTGTGACAAGGGTGTACTTGTTTGTTTCAGGTTCACACCAGCCTTTGAAGCAGGTGGAAAGGCCAGGGTAGATAACGCTTTTTACCATTTTCCAGGCAGGGAAACTGAGTCTAGAGAGGCAATGTGGCACATTAGTGCCTGCTCAAGTCAGGCACTTACTGAGCAGAAGGGCTCCCCTAAAGCTGCTGTAACAGCACACGGCTCCTCTGTGGACCTTGGATAGATGTCACGGGGCTCCAGTAAGATTGTACTCTGGCTGTCCAGGCTGTGAGTATAGGTATATGGGGCAACTGTCAATCACTCATTAGGCAGAGGGGGCTCTTGACCAAGGACCCCATGTCTGCTGATCGCTTCCATTGATGGGTTGCTTACTTCACAACAACAGTGCTAATGGATCCTAGCTCTGGTTTGGATGCTCTCCCTGCGGAGGGTGGTGTCTGTGGTGACTGGGGCCAGGTGACTGAGGCACTCGGAAGTTGAGCTCAGGAGGCTTTGAAAACAGTGGCTTCTAGCTCAGCTCTCCTTGCTCACACCAGAGATCCAGCTCCAGTCTATGCCTTGTGCCCTGCATGCTTTATTCTTCCTACTTTGTCCCAGTGCTGACTCTGGAGAAGGCTATAAGAGAAGCCACTTCAAGGATGGAGGTGCAAGCTAAACCTGGAACACACAACTTGTCTTCCAGCTTCAACTGCTCACCCTACCACACTTGGGGCGAGTCAGTCATTCAGCTTTTGTCTGCATGTTTTTTTTTTTTTTTTTTTTTTTTTTACCAATTGAAAATCTGAAAAGTTATATGGACTGTGGGGCTTAGCTATATGGTAGAGTCCCTGTCTAGTTCATATGAAGCTCGGAGTGTGGTCCCCAGCACTGCACAAATAGAGCATGCTGGCACACATCCAGAATCCCAGCACTTGAAGGTAGAAGCAGAAAGATAGAGTTCAAGGTCAGCCTGGGATATAGGAAACTTTGTCTCAATACAAAATTAGAATCAACAAAGAAAGAGGGAGAACATAAAAGAAAATGGGATAATAATCATAATTCAGGACTATAATCTTCAGCTCAAGTGTTTTTACCTACATGTATTTGGAAATTCAGAGTTTCTAATTTCAGAAAGGTAATGCATATATGCTACATATTATATAACACCCTCAGCAGGTCTGGGACAGCACTCTGTAATCAAATGTATTAATGGTTCTTCAATGAGACACTTGGATATTCACTAGACGTGAGATAAAGTCCACAAACAGCTTCTTGTCAGTTCCAGGCAGATTTCTTGCTAGGTGGAATGCAGAAACAAAACAAAACGAACAAATAAACAGACAGATAGACAAAACCCCTCCTATCGTCAAAGCATTTGGATGTCAGAAGTGTGGAGGTGCCCAGTGACCGTCAGACCTTCACCCTTCATTGATTCTTACCATCTGTGCTCTTTTCGGGCTCTGAGATTAAGTCCTGTTTTGAGTCAGCAGCTCAAGAATTGTACATCCCTGTGTGGTGGGCATTGCTCCTTCCAGGTATACAGTTCCATGAAACCAGAGGCAAGAAAGGAGCACAGGGGAGCCTTTCTGCACCCCCACTTTCCACTGAGCCCTGCTGCCCCAATGGCTGATGCTTATTTAGATACCTTTCAGACTTTCCAGCACCCTTGAGTTTTCTTCAGATCTCAGCCTTGAGGCTCCTTATGTCAAAAACATCTCACAGCAAACACATTCTGCAGCAAAGTGGTCCACACTGCTGCCTGGTGGGTGGTGAGGTTTTCAATCTCAATGGTGATCAAGTGGGGATGCAGATGATGGAATTCCGGTATCGGAACAAGATTAGATGAACAGTCTCCTGCTTTCTTAGAACTTGTAATTCCATGTTCCACATAAAAGGGTTTAGGACAATTCTCCTACCTGGTGTCCCCCAAGCAGTTCCATCTTAGGACCTCACCTCTCTTCCCACTTATAAACATATAGGAACTGAGTCATTCCCAAGATGCCAAGATACCCATTTGCTCAATTGCTTCCCTTCAACGGGGCTTCCAGAAGTTCCTACCAAGGCTCTTGAGCTTATTCCTGAATACTGGGCAGGGGTGGGGTGGGGTCCTTGTCCAGAAAGAGGGAAATATGGACTTTTTACCTTGGCCAGTTGTTCCCCCAGGCCTCGGGGGACTTCCCGCTCCTTCTCATTGTCAAGTTTATTGCCCAGCAGCAGAACAGGAATTCGGTCTCCCACAGCCTCCTGCAGAATAGATCCATCCCTCCATTGAGAGAAGCCTCCCTGGATGATGCCAGACAGCAGGCTCACAGGGCTGCCTAGAACGATCCAGGCTCGTGTGAGAGCCCAGCAATGCAGAGTGAGATTGGAGTCACCTGAAGGTCTCTATTAACCACGCTTCTGCAAAGTGTCGGGCCTGTTCCCCCACCTCCCCCCACTCCCCAGCCACGCAATGACCCTTTCTCTTTTCACCTTCCTTTTGGCTCTTGTATAAAGCTCATTGACTCCCCACTTGTGCTGAGGAGGTAGCAGGATGGAGTGGGGGGGGGCAGTGCATGGACACCAAGGGATTACTATGACTTTCTCCTGTATCACTGGGGCCTTTGCTAAGTGCCCAGACCCAGTCTAACAAAGCAGAACAAACCTAGGAAATATATCAATGCAGGTTGAAGCTGGTCTGTGGTTGCTTTGAGGAGAGGTGGCATCTTTGAGCCTCTCTGATATTTAAGTACTTGTCCCTCACAGCTCTCTTCCTCCCCACCCAGCTGTAGAGCTCCCATGCTCTCGAGGTTGATCAAACAAGGTTGTTCTCATAACTTTCCGGTGCGCAGTGCCTGTGCCTTGACCCCAGGTGTGGGTGGTGCATGACTTCCTCCCATGCTTAGCTGGTCCCCTGGCTTGGGTATATAAGCCCATCACTCTCTGTAATAAAAGGCAGCAGCTTCCTCTTCACTTCTCGTGTTGGTCTGTTAAGTGTTTCAATCCCAACACCCTCCGCCAGCTCGGTACTCTGGCCACACGGGTGCAGCAGACATCCAAATCTGAATCATCGTCCTGGGCCAAAGAGCTCCTTAAGTGGCTGCTGGTAGGCTAACTGGGGGAAGGCACTAAGGACTCACATTACTGGGCAGATTTAAGGAGGAGCTATTTGTCATAGCAGCTGCACTGCTATGTCCAGAAGTGATGACTTCACACAAAGTGACACCATGTTTATTCTTGTAGTGGCTGTGGCATATCAGCCATATCCTGGGGGCTCTGCCCTATATGCAAAAAGGGGTGCTACATGTATGTCCTCAGAGGCAGAGCACTGTGGAACACACAGTCACACAGTGAGTAAATTCAGTAATGTTCACATTTAAGAAGGTTGTTTTTACTTTGTGAAATACTTAATTAGAGGCTTTTAATCATAATTTGGTAACTAAGTTACTCACCATAGCTAAATGGTTTGCTCAACAGAGGGGCTGCGGGAGAATAGTCAGTTATAAACCTAAGTTATGGCTGTGCCAAGAGTTTCACCACCCTCCCTCAGCACCCCTGATCAGAACACCTGATCTAAAGCTTAAGTGCTGTTAGCTCTGACATTCAATCCCCTCAATCTGCACATTCATGTGTTACTGCAGTTCAGTGGGAGAAAGTAACCCTCAGTTGCTAAGTGGGGACATTAGGTTCAGAGGACCACAAAAGCCTATACAGCCAGGAGATGAGACCTACGAAGGCCACTTAGTATGTGGCTCCATCATTCACTGAACTTTTTGTCTAGATTCATATTTCTAGGGAACACTCTGCAGCTTGGTATGTTACTAAATAGAATGCTCTAGAAACAGTACCCACCAGCAAGAGAGTGGTTTACGTTCACAGTGATGTCTCCTGTCTTCTGACCCACTAAAATAAATCACCTGCGTAGTTGACAAGAATCATACCACCCTTCAATCATTCTAAAGTGAGAAAACCAGCTAACAGCATGCACAGACTATTGTGGCTCCCTATTAGCTGAGGGTTAGTTAATGGGAATACCCCACTCCATCTTGACTGCACAGGCAACAGAGTACTTATGCAAAGAGTTTTTCACATAAAAGGAGGAAAGAGGAAGATTCGGGGAACTGGGCCAAAAGACTTGCTGTTTAGAGCACACGAGAAAGATATATTTGTAGACTTATGTGTGAGGAATGACTAAGGTTTGTGGGATTTCTTGACATGGAAACTCTGAAAATATGAGCATCAGACCTAAAATCTTGGCATAAAACTCCAACCCGGATTTTATTAGTAGATGGAATGGGTCATGGCTGCAACTTGCTTGCAAAGGGGAGGGTGGACACTTAGGGTCTGAGTAGGATGGGGTGAGGCCCGTGTCTTGTGCCTGATATGTACCTTCTGCAGAGCATCAACACAAGAGCTCTCAGGGAAAAGGACTAATTCGTTTGAGAGCTATTCCTAGACAGAGAAAGGGGAGAGTTTAGAAAGAGCAGAGAAACAAGCCAAGCTCCCAGCTGCATTCCATTCCCATCTTTTGCTTGCTCGTCCCTGGCACAAACACGCAGGGCAACTCACTTCCCCTCTGAGGGCTGCCCTCAATACAGACAACAAGGACCCAGCTCCAAGATAAATGAGATCACATAAGGCCAGAGGACGTGCTAACTGTGACAGCAGCAGCCCTCATGACCTCGGCCCCATCACCCATAGAGTGATAGGAAGGGCTGGCTTGGATGTCAGTCTTGGGATCCTCCCTGACCCCTGAACTATCTCCCTGAAGTCTATGCCTTCCTTATTTCTAAACAGGTTCTCAGCTTGTCTGATACTACTTGGTACAAAGAGACACATAATTAACTATTAGATGTTGCAACACTTTTCATTTTAAATTTATCATTATTTAATTTATCATCACTTCTCATAATTATTTTGGTACTGGATATGGAATGCAGGGCCTTTCCCATGCAAGGCTGTCTCTCTCCCACTGAGCCACGCCTCTAGCCTGACATCTCCTTTTCAAAGTGCAAAGTGCACTTCTACTAAGCCTGGGAGACTTGGTGAACAGCTCTCCTTACCCTCTATTGTTGTTAATGCTCTAGAATCCCAGAATATGCACCACAGGCCAGTTTGATGTCTCTTAATCCATTGGCCAGGCACACAGTCTGTCCTTAGGAGGCTGGGCGCTGCCACCTTCCCTCTGGATGAATCCTCCAGTAGTTCCTGTTCTCTGAATCACTAGTCTCGGATCCTTAAAATAGTCTATGTTCTAGAATGTTCTAACAGAAGTCTCTCTACACCTTTGATTGCCACAGCTGCCTTTCTCTACATTTGAGTGTGATGAAAGATAGATTTGTTGAAATTTAAGATCATCCAGCTCGAATTTTACAGAACAACAGAACAAGAGCTGTCAACTAGGAGCAGAGGACTGTCACTCAGCCCTGGGTGCACAGCTGCTGAGTTGAGCTGGTGTGTGTGTGTGTGTGTGTGTGTGTGTGTGTGTGTGTGCACGCGCGCGCGCACACGCATGCATGCAGGTGCATGCCTGAATGTGTATGTGTGAAAATCGGTTTGCTGGAGGCATGAAAAAGCACTTAGCTAGTAGGATGTTGCTATTTCTCTGAAGCCAGAAAGAAAATTTTCTCATCACATTAAAGCATGCCGTGATACTAAGAAAAAAAATGACTGCAAAATTATATCTTGAGGGTTTCCATATTTATCCACCCCCTGGACTATGAGTCAAAACAAGATTTATTTGTATAGTTTGTTTTAAACTGTCAGCGCTTCAAGTTCAACTTGGAATGGGGGGGGGGAATCAAACTGCTATTTTTGTTCCCTGCTGTACATTGTCACCAAGGACAAAGATCACAGACTGAGAGAGGGAAGTGGATCAGAGCCTCTCCAGATGGAAACCCTGTTCTGCTTGGAGACCAGAGCAACAAGGCCTGGAGAAGAGACCAATGCCCCTATGTTTCAGGAGATCCTAGCATGGCCAAATGAAGAAAGAAGCGCAATGCAGTGGCAGAGATAGGGCTCCAGTAACTGCCTCACAAGCTGTGGGTACCTTTGGACAAATCACTTCTTCTCTTTGTCCTCCAAAGTGAGGTGTATATGTATGTGCACACGTGTGTGCATGTGCATTGTTGTTGCTTGTTTACCTCAGAGAGGTTCTGGTATGGGTTCACCTTTCCATCCATTTTCTACTTCCTTAATGTATAGGCTTTACAATAAGGTGCTACCTGAATGATTACAAAAACAAATCTGAACATGAACTTCAATAAGTGAACTAGATATTGGAGATTTACAGCCTAGACTTGGGGAACACACCAGACTGTAGGGCCCTGCATGGACTTCAACTTGCGAGCAGATTAATTAGAGCTAGGCAAGCAAGCTCTCTCTCACTGGGGCTCATAGCCCTTACCCTTGGTGCGATCTGCCTGATCTGCCTACACTGCTGCCACAGCATTAGGCCCAGGCCAACTTTCAAACAAGACAGATTCTACTATGTTTAGCTCAAGAGAATGCCTCTGCCCAAGTATGGCTGAACTTACAGATGAACAAATCACCAGAAACAGGTAAGGCAGAAGGGGGAAAATATCCAACCTAAGACAGGAAGGTTACAGGCCTGGGTGACCTCTCCCATGATGGGTAAGGAATTATGCTGATGTCCTCTGCCGCCTAAGACAGGTGTTAGTTTATAATAAAAGAAAGGGGGCCCTGCATGGACCCCCAGGCACCTTGAGCAAGCCTGAAGCTGTTGGCTGGAACATCTTGCCCCAGAGTTGTTACTGGTACTCTGTCTGATTTGCTAACACACATCTGCTGGGGAGGAACTAAGCCCGAGAGCTTTCACACTTGACCCTTGATTGTTTTCCACTATGCTGTGAGTCATACAAGCCCGCTCCTTTTCCTCAATAAACAGCATTCCTGTTGCACGAATGACCCGCTATCTTGTCTTTTATTTAAATCTCTAGGCCTTCGCCTGATTAGTGGAACAGATTGTAGCTTGGGTGCTACACCAGACCACAGTGCTGTACCCAGGTCTATGAGCTCTTCCTGACCCAAGTCCTGGGAACTTCACATATCTAGTTTGTCTATGCCTTAACATGGTATGCTTCATGATCAACTGCTTTCTTCTCCAAATTGAATGCTCAGTGACATTTTCCTAGAGGTGATGAGAAGGCGTGTGGGCTGGGGATGCATCGTTGGCAAGGACTCAGTGGCTCACGGCTCACATGGACTATGGCCCAAGCCTCTTCTGAGCATGGCTTGCAGGCAATATGGAGCCACCTGGTTTGGTGAGAGCTAAGAGGCGATACAGGAGAGGTGTTGTGAAGGCAGAGCCACTTCATCACACAGGACACTCCTGTTCAGAAGGACTGATCCCCAAGGATCTCTCACTCTCAGTGTGGGGAAAGTGGGACCCGGAAGGTGGTACTAGGTCAGTAGCATGCACCCTTGGAAGGCAGTGAGGTAATTCTGAGTCCCTCATTAGTTCTTTTTCTTTTGTTCAAGACAGGGTTTCTCTTTGTAGCCTTGACTATCCTGTAGACCAAACTGGCCTCAAACTCACAGAGATCCACCTGCCTCTGCCTCCTGAGTGCTGGGGTTAAAGGCGTGCACCACCACTGCCCAACTCTAGTTAGTTCTTATAAGGGAGGTGTCATAAAAACAGCGAGCCTGGTCCCTCCAGTTCTCTTCCCCTCCTGACCGCTTTCCACCATGGTGAGAGCCACCACGATGCAATATAACTCAGAAGGTCCTGGCAGAGCTAAGCCAGCCCAAGCATCCTGCCCTTGGTCCTCTTGAACTGTGAGCCAAGTGAGCTTTTCTTCACTTTTTCTGGATATTTTTTCCCATAATGAGAGCCAGAGCATTCTCTAGATATTTTCTTAGGTAACAGGTCTCCAATAGCCTTCAAGCTAGAAGGACCTTCAAGCCTCTCTCATTTTACACTCCTGCCCTGTCATCCCCTGCCCCGCCCCCACCTCCAGGAGGTCAATGCTATGCACTGTAGAATTTGGGTGGGGACAGTAGTACAGGGTCCTGTCCCTCAGTGAATGGTTGTCCCAAGAGTCAAGGCCAGGAAGCAGCTGAGCTGACAGGGTAAGAAGTGCTTTCTCAGGGAGCTGCATCTCCTGCCCTGAGCACCTGTCTCCGCCCCCCCCCCCATCTTCCAGGACCCCATCTTTCCCATTCATGGCAAACAGCAGAGTTTAAGACCTTGTTTCTCCGAGCTTCAGGTGGCCTGGGGGTGGGGGGCACTCGGAAGGCTGGCCACCATTCAGTTAATAACAAGGCTTCAAGCCTTGAAGGCTCTGATTAAAGCTCCCCCCACCCTCCTTCTCCAGGCGAGGGAGTTGGCAAAGTACTCCCAGCTCTTTGAAAAAGTAAGGTTCTCCACAAATATAAAGTACTTATTATTTTCAGTTCCCCTCAGATCAAATTAGGTGTCAAGTTTTAATCTATCACCTGACACCTCTGATTGCCGGTTGCCACGGCAGAATGACTTAGCTTTTCAAGAATGGGGGAATAACAGCATCCATCCACACCTTCAACGCACAGCCAGCCCTTTGGCACAGCCTCCTACACTCCTTCCTGAGCCCTGAGCTGTGGGACAGGACGCCTTTCCTAGTGCAGCCTCTCGGGTCCAGCGAGTGCTGGGCACACAGCCCGTGTTTGGAAAAGTCTTGGTCAAGGCTCAGAGGTGCTTTGAAAATGACTCAGAGCCTTGCTATTCTGAGAGTGGAACAGCAGTGCTGGCTTCCCTGCAACATGGTTAGAAATTGGGAATCTTGCATGCCTGCACCTGTGAGTGGATCTGCCTTTTAAGACCCCAGGGAGACTCCCAGGTATGGAGGATGTTGAGAAGCACTTATTCATGGTAGAAAGGATGGCAGCTGAAAAACAAAACCACCTGGGAAGCTGGGTTTTTTATTTTTATTTTTTTTTTAAATTTCCAGGCCCTGGGCTGGTCCATCTACAGTGAAGGCCTTGCCTTCAGTGTTTAGGTACTGACACTTCAGAGTTCCTTTAGAGTTCATCAGCACCTTCTGTCAAACTTGCTTTAAAAGGCAAGATTCAAGCTACAAATTACCCACACTTAGAAGATTCCCAAGTTAGCAATGTACAATTTACCACCTCAGCCTGGTGTCTAAGCCCATGGGTGATTCAAGGCTCCCGTGAGGTGAGGTACTTGCCTAGGAGAGGTACACCTTGCTCAGCTATGCGAAGGACCAAGCTCATACTCAAGTCTGCCATGATATCTTCTACGATTTCTTCCTGCTGACCAGATACAGCCTGATCTTTAGAGAATAGTGACACCCCTAGTCACAGCAGAGAACACAGTCTCATGTTTACCTCCATTACTGCCATCAATACCAGATATTAGGACTTCCCAGCTCAGATCCCAACTTGGGTGTGTGTGTGTGTGTGTGTGTGTGTGTGTGTGTGTGTGTGTGTGTGTGTCTGAGGCTAGGGGAAGAATGAATAGATTTAGAGAAGTTGCAACTCAGCTTCTTCACTTTGAGATGTGATATATTATACTAGATGGTACTAGACTGACTGTTTTCAAATGGAAACCCTCCTGTCTAACAGCCCTGTGTACAGGCCTCCAATGTACAAAGCTGGAAAAAGGCGAGCAGATAGTACGGAGAAAGGAGAATGCCGGGCCCTGAATGGTGACCATTGGCGAAAGGAGAATGCCGGGCCCTGATGTGAGACTACTAAATCTTTCCCTGTCCTGCCCCACTTCCTAGGGAATGTCAGCCTGGTTCCAGGACTCCAGGGACAAGGGGACGAAAACTCACTGGATTAAATCATCAGTAGTGTTTCTCCTGGTGCTGCCAACAAACAGAAAGTAGATCAGGAGGAAGGGGAGGGACGTGGGAGAAGGGACAGGAGAAGAAAAAAAAAAAAAAAAAAAAAAAAAAGGTGAGGAGGAGAAGGGAGAGCCAGGAAGCAGAGACAAGTCGGGCAAGCCCAAGACCTTCCAGGAAGGCGGCTGCTCACCTCCACGCTGCTCAGCCACTGTCGAATGGACAGGAAGGATTGCTTGGCTGTGAGGTCATACATAACAACCACGCCGTCGGCCTTTCGGAAGAACTGCTGAGTGACACAGCGATATCTGCCATGAGAGAGCCAGCATCAGGCTTGGCATACCTTGCTTGGGGACCCTGGCCTGGGCCCTGGGTGTGCAGCACCTTACCTCTCCTGCCCAGCAGTGTCCCACAGCTGCAGAGCCACCTGTGCATTGTCCACAGTGACTGTCTTCACTCGGTAGTCGATGCCTGCAAGATAAAATAGGCCTGTGAGAACTGCCTCGGTCATGGGCACCCTCACTTCCAAGTTAGGAGATGATGCCTCCCTGTCTGGAACCGCGGCAGGTAACCTTCCCTGTGGGGCAGTGTAGGAAAATGGACGGAGCACTGCACAGGGGGCATGAGATCTGAGTTCTGGTCTTGTTTCAGACTGCAGGGCTTGAAGACGTCGCTGAACCCGTCTTAGCTACAGGCTCCTCGCTGTACCATAATGTACGTACTCTCGGACACTGGATGAAGTCATGTCAGGGCCCACGCAACATGCAATGAGCAGATGACTTCCTATCTGGGGTGATGCCTGTCACCACCTTTATTCCGTGCCTTCCTTACTCTGTAGCTTTGTCCTTTCATTCTTTGCTTTTGGTGAAACTACTTTCAAAATGTCCCTAGTAAATTCAAACATCCCAAAGGGATGGAGCTTACGTTCATATTCCTATCAGATAATCCAGAAGAGGAGCTTGAAAAGGAGGAAGGCGAATGGAGAAGGAGCAGGGGGAGGAGAGGAGGGGTTTGCAGATAGCAGAAAGGACAAAGAAGAGGTAGGAGAAGGGGACAAAGGCTGTATTCACCCCTGAGAAGGGTCTAGGACTCTCAATCATCGCGAGGCCATTCAGATCACCTCTTCAGTTATGTGACCCTCCCTGGGCTGGACTGCCCTTCTTTCCTCCCCCTTCTCCTCTCCCTCTGGCCATGAGCTGACCCCTTTCATCGGCCTTTCTCTCTCCTGTGATTTTCAGAATGTTTAAAATGCATAAAGATTTTTTTTAAAGTCTTATTATTTATGACTCCTGTTTGCAGAACTGGAAGGCATCCCTTCCCATTTTCACAGATACCCAAGAGTCCTTGCCCTGCAGGGAGCAGGAGCAGTACAAGGAACAAAAGCCTTGGCAGAGAGTAGCAGGAGATACTCAGCAGTTATAGAAGAAGCAGGAAGTGGTGAAGGTCACCCCGGGCCTCTTTCTTCACAGAGAGGAATGGATTCATCTGGGTGAGAAAATTAGAACGTTTTTACTGTATTTCCACTATTTTCATATAGGCCTCCATCCTTCAGTATCCCCAAGTCACCCATGAGGGTTATAATTTACACACGTATACACACACACACACACACACACACACCATGGACATATGAGAAATTGCAGTCAAGCTTCTTCCCTTCCCTGGGCTGGCAGCTAGGCTGAGGTTCCCCAGTCCATTCTAGCATCCTTACCTGGAGCATAGGCTGCCTGGAGCTTCCTTTTGCCAGGCATCCCATAGCCATGTGTACCCATCAAAACAGATGACAACTGCTAGCTGCTGAACCGGGGGTGAGTTTTCTTCTTGATTAAAAACATGATAGGCAGCTAGGGAAGCGTATAAGCAAGAGCTCAGAGGCAGCTAGAGAACATAAGGACAACATAAAGTGAGGATGGCATGACAGTCACAGCACCCAGACACCATGGCAGGAGAACAAGAGTTCAACCAAAGAGGAGGTAGAATACTGTGGGGCAAAGGGCCTGGGACACGTGTTTTAAGACCATCTGGCACTCTAAAGGTCCAAGCATTAGGAGACTTGGGCCCTGCCAGTGCCAGGCAGAATGACTTGATGATGTCATTTCACCTCAGTTTTTGAGACTCAGTTCTTTGAGGGGGTTGGAGGTTTGAAGGAACTAAATTGGAATTTCATAATCTCTAAGTTCTGGAGGAACATTCCATGATGGCGTGAGATATCCTTCCACTTGCAACCCAATTAGATGTAACAGTTGAAGTAAAGAAATCTCCAGTCACTAGAAGTGTGCTTTGGAGGTGGTATGGGTTAGACTTGAGCTGAAGGGTCCCTGGAAGGTGACATTAGCCTTTCTGGTGAAGACTGGCCAGGCTGTCACCATGCAAAGAAGGGGAGGGGATGGGCTATGTCTACAAATTGCCTCGCAGGAGGACCCTAACTTCAGGAATTCCCTACAGGACTTGGGGTGAGCACCTCACTAGTGGTCAAGAGAGAACAGAAAGCATTCTATCAGGACATGCCTTGGGCTCTGGGCTGTGATTAAAGCAGGGAGGTTAAGCAGACATGTGGAGAAGTGGGCCTAAGCACTGGGGACGAACGCTGGCTGCCAGGGAGATTTGGTCTCTGATGCTCACTCTGATTGGGCCTCTGTCCCCTCACAATCTGGCTGGATGTGAACAGACCATTCCCAAGGGTCTTTCCAGCTTCAGGGCTCCACAAAAACCATCAGCGGTCCAAACACCTGTTCATGAAGGAGCAGGCAGAGTTCTGAGGTGGAGCAGGCAGAAGCAAGGGTTTTACACACCAATTTCTCATAGAATGTGGGAGACCGGGAAGTGACCTCAAATGACAGATGTGAGCCTAAAGAAAAGCCCAGTGTTTGTTGCTGAGTGGTATTGTGGAATATCAGTTGAAGATGTGTTACATTCATTTATGCTGTGGGACATTTGATTAATGATGCAAAGATGTGTTTCATCCTTTATGTTGTGTTTGTTTAACTCTGTTAAGCTATGTTACTTCGTCTGTCTAAAACACCTGATTGATGTAATAAAGAGCTAAATGGCCAGTGGCTAGGCAGGAGAGAGACAGAGGTGGGAATGCCAGGTAGACAGAATAAATAGAAGGAGATACAAAGAAGATTGAGAAAGGGGAGGAGAGGAGGTCATCAGGGGCCAGTTACACAGCAAGCCACAGAATAAGCTGTAAAGACAGGTACATAGACTAGAGAAAGATGAAAGCCTGGAGGCAAAAGGTAGTTGGGATAATTAAGGAAAGTGGGCTAGAATCAAGCCAAACTAAGGTGAGGCATTCATAAGAATGAATAAGACTCCGTGTATTTACTTGGGAGCTGGATGGTGGGTCCCCCAAAGAACAAAGAGTAAAAAGTTACCAACTACAGTGTGGAGTCATAATTGCTGCTCTGGATAAGGGACTGGCCAGAGCTCTGAGTGGGGTTTGATCTGCTGTGGCCTTGGGAAACTGACTCTTTGGTGACACATTATCCTAAAAGGAACTTATTTCTGTTGCTGGTATGACAATTGCTCATCAACTCACACACAGAACAAGGTCAGGCACACTGGGCTAGAGAACTTGCCCTGAGAACCTGCTACTGCTCTGGCATGTTCATGCCTCATGATAAAAAAACCTTTGGGCTGTCCTCTTGTCAAATTGTTGGAATTTCCCGAAATGTGTGGTGGCCTCTGGGGAAGTAAAAATGGGCCAATTTTCTTTATCAGAGCCTTTTGTCTCAGGCATGAGGTTGGGAGTAGAACTTGACTCCATTGTCAGGAGAGACATGTGGCTTAGAGATGAGCCTGGAACTCAAAAAGCATCTTGCCTGTCACCATGAGCCCCTGAAGAGCCCTGACTTGTGGGTCCCACACTGGAGGACCCTCTAGGAAAGCCAGCCTGTCTGCCTCCAGACACTGCCGTACCTCCTTGCAGTTAGCACCCTGGCTTCTGCTCAAAGGATGGCTCAGACTGTCCTGAGTTTGCATCCAGTGCCTGCCCTGCCTCCTTTCATGTCTGATACTTTGTATTGGGGTGTCCACAGTCTTTATGTGGAGTAACCCAGGAGGGAGGGACAAGGGGCAACAGCGTAAGAAACGGCTGGCCAGGAATCACAGGGCACCGAAGCATGTGGGATGATACTGTGGGTAGAAAAGATGATGGATGAGCCAGTTCAGGATGAGAGGAAAATGATGAGTTCCCACACACACACACACACACACACACAGGGAAAGGCCCCAGGGCTTGGGTTGTTTGCCCTACAGAACCAGCTTGTCAGAAGCCAGTGGTCAAGGGTGGTCTGGCCAGAGACCTGGGCTTGGAAGCTGGTTCCAATCCTTTCTTTTTCACATAAGAAACATCAAAGGGACTGTGTCCTCTTGAGGTCACGGAACTGGTCAGTAGCAGTCAGGATGAGTACCTAGGATTTCCAATGTCCCACTCACTGAACCTTCCCAGTCTTTCCTGCCCACCTCAAAAGGCAGAAAAGGGACCCTACCACTCACAGGTTGCTATGTGCTTACAATGCAACATTGTTAGGTCATCATTGAAAAGCTAGATGAGGGGCTGTGTGGATCCAGTGGTGGTGTCAACACTAATCATAGGAATGTGTGTAGGGCTCCTGATCTCTCTGGACCTAAGTTTCTCAATCTATCAGGCTGATCACAATGTGAAGACAGGTTGAAATGGTGGATATGAGGTCATGGCCAGTGCTTAGATTGTATGACTACATTGTCCAGTTCAGTAGTCTCATCAGTTCAGATAAAGAGGCATGGCAAGCATTCACTTTCATCTTTTGTTGAGTGACTCAACTTGGTAGGATCTGAAGGGTTAACGTGCCCTTGATCCTGCCACACACTCCAATGTCATGTGCAGTTTTGGGTGAAACAATTAAAAACCTCCCTTTGAATAAAGTATTGTCCGTAAGTGGGAACACATTCAGCCATGGCTATCTAATGGCAGCTGAGCCTAATACACTCACTCCTACAGTTAATTTCTGATGACTCTTAGCAGATCCGGGATATGGGACAAATCAAGCTAATGTGTAAAAGAAGACTTGCATGGTTCCCAGTTGTGCATGTGACCACAGGCCTAAGGGCAAGATGGGCAGGGTAGGCCCATAGGAAAAAAAAGTTGGGGGTAGTAGGTCTTGGCTCTGGGGGAGTTCTTATCAGATCTTGGGAAGCATGAAGGTTCAGGGTCCCACTGATTGAAACAGCAGTGGAGGGCTAGTGAGACGGCTCAGTGGGTAAAAGTGTTTGTCAAGTCTGATGACCTAAGTTTGATCGCCAGAATCCACAAAGAGAAAGGAGAGAGCTAATTCCCTTAGACTGTCTTCTGACCTTCATGCTTGTATTCTCTCTCTCTCTCTCTCTCTCTCTCTCTCTCTCTCTCTCTCTCACACACACACACACACACAGAGAGATTATTTGCAGAAATAGCACAAGCTAGATGGATAGGTGGGAGCCCACAGAGAGGATCAAAGACCACACGCCCACTGCTGTCAACCTCAACTCCTAAATACAAGGCTGGAACTATGAAGCACTCACCACCACCACCACCACCCCACACACACATCATAAGCATAGCAGCCCAGCAGTGCCAGGCAGACGGGAGGGGGGCGGGTTTCTCCTTGTTCCTTCTAGCCAGTGCCGCCATTCCTCCCATGAGCCTTTATTCCATCCTCGAGAAGAGAACTCACCCACAGTGGCTGCCATGCCTATGGAGAAGCGACCCTCACAGAGCCTCCTCAGGAAGGATGTCTTCCCCACAGCAGAGTCACCCACAAACACAATCTTGAAGAGTCGGTCTGGGGTAGAGGAAATGCTTTCCTCCTGTGGATGGAGACAGTCTGATCACCTTCTGGGAACGGCCACCAGCCCCTGCTGCTTCCAGGTTGCTTTTCATTATCCACTGAGATCCCAGCACCAGGGAGGCCACTTCTGCCCCAGAATACACCTAGCACTTGTCTTAGAGCATGAACAAGAGATTGTTAGGAGAAATAACAGCTATTCGCGCACATTCATGTGAAAGGCCTGTTACTGAGCACTGGGGGTGAGAATGAGAAGGGGTCCACGGTCCCAGAAAGCAGGGGCAGGGGAAGACAAGGGTGCTGTTTGTTTGTTTTGCTTTTTGTCAATGTGACATAAGATAGGGTCATCTGGGAAGAAGGAACTTCACTTGAGAAAATGCCTCCATCAGATTGACCTGTGGGGAAGTCAATAGGACATTTTCGTGATTAATGATTGGTGTGGGAGGGCTCAGTTCACTGTGAATGGTGCCCCCCACACACACACAGGTGATCTTGGGTGCGACAAGAAAGCAGGCTGAGCAAGCCACGGGAAGCAAGGCCGTAAGCAGCTCTCTTCAGTGGCCTCTGCTTCAGTTCCTGCTTTCTGGTTCCTGCCTCGTGTTCCTGACCTGACTTCCATCATGACTGTGAGCCTAAGCTGAAATGAACCCTTTCCTCCCCGAGTTGTTTTTGGTCATGTGTTTATCACAGCAGCAGAGAAGCAGACTAGGATCACAAGGTAGTCTTTGGAAGGGAGAGGGGAGAGATGGAAGACCACAGGGCTGGGGACCTGCCTTCCTTTCACTTGACCAACCCTAATGATGCTTGCTGAGACTCAAGAAACTTAGGAGACTCCAAAAGCTCTAAGACTCACACTCCTTAAGGTCACATAAACCAGGCAACTTGTCTGGAAAGGACCCTTTCTGGAGGGCTCTCTGGAGGAAGTGCCTGAAAGTTGTACAGGGGGCTCCAATGGTACAGCTCTCTGGAGTCCTCCCCTTCTGGGGTACAACTAACTTTGTGTTATTTACTCATGCTCTGGTAAATAGCCCCAGTTAGCCTACTAGTTCTCTAACTGGCTGGGATCACTTCTTTACTTTGCCATAGATATCTATAGAAAGCAGGTATTAATGGTCATGTGTAACAAGTACGGTTTTTCTGCCTGCTGCCCGGTCTTGTCCTGCTACCACGCCACCAGCCCCAAATAACACACAGAGACTCTGTATTTGATACAATACTGTTGGCCCGGTTACTTGTTACTTATCGGCTAGCTCTGCCTTTAATTATTAACCCATTTCTATGTATCTTCACATGGCCTTCTCTTACCGGGAGGCGGCTGGCGTCCAGCTCTCTCCAGACTCTCCATCTTGACTCCTCCTTCCTACTTCCTATTTCCTCCTTGTCTCCTAGTCCCTCCTATCTTCCTTTCCTATTGGCCAACAGTGCTTTATTATTAACCAGTATGAGAAACATATATATATATAATGGCATCTCCCATCATCTCCTCTTTTCTGTTTAAATAAAAAGAAGGGTTTTAACCTTAACATAGCAAAATATATAACACAACAGTTATCAAATAATCACAGTTAACACTATTTAGTCCATTAACATTTAGCAAGATTTGAAGAAAATATTCCATCATCTATCCTATCTTTGTGTGTCTAAAGTAACTTATCTTTAATACTAAGGAAAACTATGACTATAACTATCTGTCTTCAACTCCTTCAAAGACCACAGAAGGATAATATATAAGCTCTAGAAATGACAGAGACATCTTGCCTTTTCAGTCACCCGAAGTTCTTCTGTAATCTTCCATCTTCAGCCCATAGGCCATAGTATGTCTGACAGACTCTCCAGTAAAGCAGAAAACTTTAAACTGTCTTCTTTATTGGCAGTTTGTCAGTCACTTTTCTCCGTGTCCTGCATACTGTCTCGAAGACTCTTCCATGAAGCAGGATCTCTGTAGCAATGTCCATCTTGAATCAGGAGTCACTTTCCTGTGGGTCCTGCATGTCCAGTTTATACATCACAAAGTCAAACAGTCCAGACAAGAGCAGTATCTTGTCCAAATGGCTAGTCTTGCCATATTGGAAGCAAACGTCATAATGCATTTCTTCGATGTCCATCTTCCTTTCTGGTGCAGGTGGTATTGCCAAGAGCAATTGTGCCTCATTGTCAAGAAAAACCCTAAACCATTTTAAATGCCATTTTCTGTAGGTCTTTGAAAGGTTTGAAGAATTCCTATCTATCTCAAATACATCTCTGCATATCTAGAAAACCTAACTCACCTAGCTATAAGTTTTGACTATTATAGGTAACTATCTAAAATCTGTACTAAAATATACATTACATTTCTAAATGAGCTATATAAACACAACATCTAAACAAGAGGAGAAATATACTTAATCACAAAATTGACCTTAAATGGTATCAATAAACGAAAATCCATTCCAAAACAAAGTATTCATATCTATACCATAATTCCCTTTTTACCTTTAAAAAGAATTGGCTGTGATCATTACTCATTTATAACCAAGTCCATTTAAATGAAAACAAACATTTATAAACAATATTTGGGAATTTGGGCGTCGTTCTTTCCAAACTACTTCCTGCTGACAGGGGGCGCTGTCATGGGGGATCCTGAGAAGATGGCAGTAGTCTGCATGGCTGCCTTGTTCAAGCTGTTTTGAATGTTGGATCATCAGGAACTCTGTTTCAGGGGGCCTGGCTTGATCAAACCACATTAGTCTGGAAGGAATCCACAGCTTTTTATTTTCTGTTGAAACAAAAATAGAAATCCTTTTCCCAAGTAACTTGTCCTTAGACTTAAATTTTTGAGTCAAAACATTTTTAAAATATATAAATTGAATTAATCCAGCAACATTTCCTTTATCAATTGTTGTTATTTTCTCAGTAGTCAAAGAATGCAGAGACAACACAATAGCATACAGTAACCAGATTCTCTCTGAGCTTTTCATCTTTATGTGGCTTTATTATTACTCTGTTTCTTTTACTTTTTATTTTTTGAGACAGGGTTTCTCTGTGTAACTCTTATCTGTCCTGGAATTCACTCTGCATACCAGGTTTACTTTGCAAATCACAGAGATCTGCTTGCCTCTGTCTCCTGAGTGCTGGGATTAAAGGCGTGTGCTAGCAACACCCAGTTCATCTTTGTCTCTTTAAAAACATTTTTTTCATGTCTACGTATATTTTTAAAACACACTGTAAACCTTTAGAGGTTTTTCTTAATATGAATCTGTCTTTACTGTAAATCTTTATCTTCGTCTGGCCACAAGTCTTTTATCTGGTAAAGAACAACATTGCTAAAATGAAAGTCATAGCTGTGTCAGCCGCGGTTTACCAAAGATGGTGGCGGGTATTTTACCGCCAGCATGGAAAGCTGTGCTCACCGCCTTGGTCTGCGCTGCCACCCAGAAAGCATGCTACCTGCTTGGAGATGTGGTCACTGCCATTGCCATCTCTCATACACACCAATAAATTGTTAGCAGAGTTATTTAAAAGCTGTGTAGTTTTTTGCCGATTATGCTGAGTCAGGAATCTTCCCTTAAAGGAGCCGCGTGAATATCTGCTTGTCTCTAGCAAGTCAGAGTCCAACCGAGAAAAATGCTGCTACCAAGAAACCTTGCTTGTCTCTGTTCTTTTGTTTCTAAAACCCTTTTTTAAGCTTTTGTTAAATTTTAAGTGGAAGTTCTTACTAGCCACGTGGGCGCCATTTGTAACGTGTACGGGTTTTTCTGCCTGCCGCTTGGTTTTGTCCGGCCTCTGTGCCGCCAGCCCCAAATAACACACAGAGACTCTGTATTTGATACAATACTGTTGGCCCGGTTACTTGTTACTTATCGGCTAGCTCTGCCTTTAATTATTAACCCATTTCTATGTATCTTCACATGGCCTTCTCTTACCGGGGGAGGCGGCTGGCGTCCAGCTCTCTCCAGACTCTCCATCTTGACTCCTCCTTCCTACTTCCTATTTCCTCCTTGTCTCCTAGTCCCTCCTATCTTCCTTTCCTATTGGCCAACAGTGCTTTATTATTAACCAGTATGAGAAACATATATATATATAATGGCATCTCCCATCAGTCATGTGCCCCCAGGAGAATAGCATCTGGGTGGGATGGAGGCCCTCTACACATGGAGTCTCTGCACATGGCCCTTGTATCCTCTCTTCAATTTCGGTTGTTACATAGTCACCTGCCATGGATAGCCACGTGGTGATTTTCCACCCTTGTGCTGGTTAGAATCATCTGGGAAAAGGACCATTGAGGGATGACTTCCTCCCTCAATGGCCCGTAGGCAAAGCTGATGGCATGTTCTTGACTGATGATTGACATGGAGAACCCAGTCCACTGTGGACAGTGCCACCCTTGGACAGGTAGTCCTAGGTTGTGTAAAAAAGGAAACTGAGCAAGCCATGGAAAGAAAGGCAGTAAGCTTTCTTTGCCTTGAGTTCCTGCCCTGACTTCCTTCAGTGATATACTATGACCTGGAAGTTGTACGATAAATTCTTTATTCCCTTTTAGTTGGTTTTGGTCAATGTTTTTGTTTTTTTGTTTTCCCCATGGCAACAGAGAATCCAAACTAGGACACTCTTCCGCTCAGGAAGGTGGGAAGTCTCCACAGGCTTCCACATGTTGCTCTGTTCATCGAGCCCCAGAGAACAAAGCATGACCAGACTGCCATCATCCTGGGACTATGACCGGGATGGCTGAACTTTATCTGGGGCAGGAGGTAGTATGAGGGACACCTCCCACACGCAGCCATTCCTTCTGGGGCACTAACTCATCACACGCCTCATCTTCCAGCTCAGCTCAGTGCTGCCAATCAGAGGGCAGGCTCTTTAGGGTGGATTTAAAAGTGGATTTGAAGGAATTAGCTTATCTGGTTGAGCAAGTGCTATAACAAAGCACAGCTGATATTAGCAGAACTTGACTTTCTGAACAAAACCCCATAGGCTTTGGGAGAGAAATGCATAGTTAGAAAAGAATTTAAGGTCAACTATAAGAATTTAAGATAAAATTAAAACAATGCCCTCTGCCCTATTTTCTTTATCCATTGAATACACAAGGCACTGGCTTCTGCCTGTCTCTTGTCTAGGTGCCTCCAACTGTCATTTGTTTAAGCAAAACGTGCCAGAGCTGGCACAGGAAAGAGGTGGGCATGTGAAATCCAAGATGTGGATGATAAAGATGGTGATCATGGCCGTGACTGTACCATTGCCTGGCCTTCATCCCCTTCCCTGGGAAGAACTCTGCTTTTCAAGCACCCACCATGAATGTTCCAGATACGGGTAGCTAAATCCACATGAACAGCTAAATCCCCCTTTCTTGGGGACAGTCTGTCTGTCAGGTGACAGACAGGTGGACTGTAGGATCAGGCAAGGTGAAGGAAGCCTGGTTATCACATCCGGGCCTATGCTGTCATTGTCCTTCCCCTCTTACATGCTTAAAAAGCAGAGTTAGGGTATGTCTAAGACATGAAGGGTTTGACCCCACTACAGACCCCGAACTTCTGTCTCCAACACCACAAAACTGATAGACAGACAAACAAGCAACAATAACACCCAGAACCCAAGTCAGAAAATTAAAACCTCCAAGAAAAAAATGATACATTCTGGACTGGCAAGATGGCTCAGTGGTAAAGGCGCCTGCCACCAAGGCTGTTAGCCTGGGTTCTATCCCTGGGAATCACATGGCAGAAGAAGAAAACTGACTCTTGCAAGTTGTCCTCCGACCTCTACTCATGTGCTGTGGCCATGCATGTGCCTACACATTCATAAATAAAGTGAATATTTAAAAATTAAAGTCATATGTTTTAATCTTTAAACTTGGGAAATACAGAATTGGAGGGAAAAAAGTCAAAATTTTTTATTATCTGAGATAGTCACTACCCATGTTTTATGCATTTTTCAGCCTTTATAGATATATGAGAAAATATTTTATTTAAATGGGTTATATATATGTATATAATTTATTCTAGTTATCATAGTTATTTAATAACAATACAAATCTCTCTGAGTCACTAAAGATTTTTTGGAATCGTAATTTTAGCAGGTATATAATAATCTACTAAATTATTGTAATATAATTTATGTCCCTATAGTAGCATTATTTTTTAATGTTTTTCTAGTCTAAACAGCACTTACAGTCTTGACCTTTCACTAGGAGTAGAAGTGAGGGTTGAAAGGTCATGACACTTGATTCCTATTACCAGATATTCTTCCGAAGGGTGGCATTATCTACACCTCACAGAGGTCTGCCTCAGGGCAGCCTTCCTCACAACTGACCCTCTTTATTCTCTCTGATGTTGTATCAAGATGGTGCCACAACCTTGTGAGGAGACGTGGGGCCACCAGGTCCGCTGAGAGAGAAGAGCAGTTACGGAGCAAACAGCTTCAGAGGCAGGTTGCTGGGTAGCCTTATGCTAAGATCCCAGCCGGAGGCTGGCTACCTCAGCTTCTTCCCTCTGGGGACCAACTTCTAGCAGTGCGAAAACATTTGTCAGGCCCATCTATCAGACCACAGTGAAGACAGGCCTCAACGCACAGGAACACAGTCTTTCCCTGTAGACCTGTCTCTTACAAACCTCTTGGTCACATATTATGATACTGGGTGATATCTTGGGATGACTTTAATACTGACTCATCTGTGCCCATTGAAAGTGAGTGTAGGCCCATGTATTGAAGGGAGTTGGAAGGGAGTGCAGAGGTAGAGACGGACCCACCGGCTGGGGGCTGCCCAAGGGAGGTGCCGCTTGAATACAGCCATCACATTTCTAGAGAAGCTTTGGAGGATGAGGGTGAAGGCCAAGGGCTGGATGGCCTTTTCCAAAGATCAAGTTACAAACTAACAGAGGGACATAGTCCCACAAGGCAAAGAGGAGTCGCCCTTCTAGAGAGCGTTTGGCAATAAGAACCAAGTGCCATGACCTTTGAACCACTCTCCTTACAGAATTCAGAGGGAATCTGAGTGAGGAGATGGAGGTGTGCAGAAACATACTGGAGGGAGGAATACACGGGACACGGGAACGGAAGAGGCTTAGGCGGCTGACATCAATAGAAAGATGACGGCGCAAACACTTGACAAAGCTGTACCAAATGATCACTTGTAATGGATCTTAGCAGACACTGACTCCAGCAGGTGTTCAATAAATGCTTCAGATCTGACTTAGAAGACAGAGAGTAAAACGGAAGCTAATGAGGAGAGTCTCTGCGACGCTCAGCTGAAAAGGTATAAGGAAGGGAAGCTGGCCTCCTGAGTGTCCTTTGGGGGCTCCTGGGCTCAAAGATAAGGGGGCAGGTCTCAGAGGCATTGCCTGGACCCTACCTTGTAGAGGGCTTCTTTTCCAACAGGCTGCCCTCGGGGAGACGTAGGGATGAGTTCCAAGGCTGGAGCTGCCATGCTTTGCCCTTCTGCCCCCTGGTCAAAGACCTCTTCTTCTTCTGGGCATTTGCTCAGTGGCTTCTCAAAACCACCTTCCAGGAGCTGAGGCAGGGGGTCTTCCTCAATGGAGATGATTCTGCGGAGAGCCTGGCGACGTGGAAGCCCAGTCCCTGGCTCTCCTGTTCCCGGCTCCTCCTCTGCCAGGAGATAGGCACTCAGGCTCACAGAGTTTCTCCTCCTCGGGATGCCGAATGCCTCATCCTCCTCCACTGACTGGCTATCAGGATGGGGGCAGGAGGAAGATGAGTAGAAGATGATAAAATATCAATATGGAATGGAGAGATACTTGCCAGCAGACAGCACGGAAGAGAACCCTGGGGAAGGAGGAGGAGGGGACACCAGACCCACCACTCAGCTCATTTTTAACGACAGCCTTATCGGGTTGCCTCCTGCTGCTGCGGTCACTGCCAGTGACAAAGATGATGATGAAGATTACTACCAGGTACCAAGTAAAAATAAAGGCCCTGTCGTCATGTGGTACTGACCCAAGAGAAGGGCCAATGCAACAAACAACACGAATGTATTCTTAGGACCAGGGTTATTTAACGGAGAAGGCATTGAAGACAGGAATGTGCAGGATTGGAAACACAGCACTCTGGGAGAGCAACAGGGTGGTTGGGCTGCGCTGCCACCATGTGCCCTCAACTTCATGTCATTACGGAAGGACATCAACTCCTCACACCTCAGTTCCTCCACCACAAAACAGGGTCCATCTACCTATTCATTCGTAATAGAATGCTTGAGAGGGATAGCCACATAGCATACACCCACACAGGGCACACCCACACAGGGCACACCCACACAGGGCACCCTCACACAGGGCACACCCACACAGCACACCCACACAGGGCACCCTCACATAGGGCACACCCACACAGCACACCCACACAGGGCACCCTCACACAGGGCACACCCACACAGCACACCCACACAGGGCACACCCACACAGGGCACACCCACACAGGGCACACCCACACAGGGCACACCCACACAGGGCACACCCACACAGGGCACCCTCACACAGGGCACACCCACAGGGCACACCCACACAGGGCACACCCACACAGGGCACACCCACACAGGGCACACCCACACAGGGCACCCTCACACAGGGCACACCCACAGGGCACACCCACACAGGGCACCCTCACACAGGGCACACCCACACAGCACACCCACACAGGGCACACCCACACAGGGCACACCCACACAGGGCACCCTCACACAGGGCACACCCACACAGGGCACCCTCACATAGGGCACACCCACACAGCACACCCACACAGGGCACACCCACACAGGGCACATGCACACAGCACACCCTCACACAGGGCACACCCACACAGGGCACCCTCACACAGGGCACACCCACACAGGGCACATGCACACAGCACACCCACACAGGGCACACCCACACAGGGCACACCCACACAGGGCACCCTCACACAGGGCACACCCACACAGGGCACACCCACACAGGGCACCCTCACACAGGGCACACCCACACAGGGCACACCCACACAGGGCACATGCACACAGCACACCCTCACACAGCACACCCACACAGGGCACACCCACACAGGGCACATGCACACAGCACACCCTCACACAGCACACCCACACAGCATCCCTCAGCCATGTAGGAGTACTGTTGCTGTGGGGGACCTCCTCCCACCCATGACAGACGTCCCCTGACTCAGAGGCAGGTCATTATGAATTGGCTTGGATCAGAAAGTGCTTGTGTCCCCCTTCGTCTTCTTCCTGTCTGAGTTCCTGAAATAGAGGGAGGAGCAAGTGGCCTCGAAGACTTTGGTGCATACTTGCTTCTGGAAGCATTTGGGTGCTGCAAGCAAAGAGGACAGTAGGAAGCGGAAGGGACAGGGCAATCGGAGCACAGAGGGAAGCTCAGGCTGTATTTTCCAAGGGTTTGGAGTCTGCACAGGTCTCCAAAATCCTGGGTTCCTTCTCTGTCTTGGTGAGCAGTTCAAGGTGTTTCCAAGGAAGCAGGCATGTTCTATGAACACACGTGCACGCACATGCACATGAGTGTGTGCCAAGGATTGCAGAGGGACCAGCAAGGCAGCAAGTGCAAAGGAGAAGGGGGAAAGGAACTGAATCAAGGGACAGAGACAGGGCAGTTCAAGGGAAGCGCCACCGGTCCTAACCCTGGCTTCTGGTATTCGTTCTTCCTAAGGTCAATAACAGGAAGGAAAAAGAAAGCCTAAGTGAATCCATCACTCGCTGACGCTAGCTGTGACTCGGAAGGACAGATTAAGACAGCGTTTACTTTCAACAGTAGTAAATTGGTTTGGCTAGAGAGCAAAAGATTTATAGCAATTCCAGCATCTTTCTCTCTGCTTATGAAATAGGTTAAATAACAGCCCACTGGCTTCTGTCCAACACCCTTCCTGTGTACAGTACGGAGCCCATTACCTGACTATTTGGTTCAGAACACAGTATCCTCTCCTTGTCCATTCTTAGTTGCTTTTATATGCAGTGTGAACATGAACATACCCATGTAATCAGACACACACACACATACACACACACACACACACACACACACACACACACACACACACACGACACACATTTTCCCAAAGGTTTTTAACCAAAAAAGGAAACAACCATTTAAGTGTGCCCTAAAATGGAGCTCTTCTTGGAAAAAGCCTTTTATTTGGGAACATCTCAAGTGCTGTTGACATTCTGTAATGGCTTCAGCTTAGCATGTCTAAGCTCATTTTTGTTTTGCCACCAAACATTTTCTGCCAGCAGTAGAGAAGAGTGGCTGCTTTTGCCAAAATCGATATTGGAATTCTGAGTGCACGCTTTGATGTTTAGTGGATTATTTTCTCTTTCTGCCACTTGGCTGTGAGCTCATGAAGGCGGGAAGGGTCTATTTTGCACACCTCTGCTCCAGTGACTGGCACAGTGAGGCCACTCAACACCTATCTATTAAATGAGCATCTGCTAGTGGATGACAGAGTGGAGGTGTCACAAAAGTGTCAGATGCAAAGTAGATAATCCACAAATGACTGTCAAATCAATCAATCTAGAAATGCATTCCATTCTGAGAAACCAACAGGCTAACAAACACTAGAGTAGAAGTTTGGCTTCCAGGCTATACCTCATTATTGAGTTGTTGAGAGATAACTCATGATAATCTGGCCCAGGGGTTTCTCTGATCAGCGCATTTCCACCCCAAAGTCACTTTTACTTTACACTTATCTTCAGTTCATGCTTACACATCTTCTCTGTGAGTGAGTTTACACATCTTCTCCCCCAGTACTGGAGGGACTAGCTGCCCTGACCTCTCTGTGTCCATCCATGTGGACACAGTACCTGTTCAAAAGAGGAGGGGGAGGGGACTGGCTTGTCTGTATGATTGAGCCAATCCTTTCGGTATCCAAGCTCAACTCATGTGCCCTCCAACAGCAACAAAACGTGTTGCCTTTGAGTCAGTTAAATATGAATCATTGGGATGATCTGTCAATCACAAGCCCTAATTTTGTCTCTAAAGGGTTTCAGCTAATGGTGATTCTGTATGACATTTAAATCAGCTCACAGCCAGTATAACTATACTCCAGAACAACCAAGTGGATCAATAAAATGGAGCACTGCCCAGCCATTCCCTCCATTGCTCCCTCCCTGATCATCTTCTCTTCATCCTCATCCTCCTCATCCCCACCCCACCCCCATCTCGGTTGTTGGGCAGTTCCCATCAGCCCCCCTCTCTGCAGTCCCACAGCAAGGCAGGATAGCCTCAGAGATGGTATCTGGCCTACAAGTCTGCTCTGCATAGTCTCCCTTCAGCTTGGATGTGACAACAGAGAGAGCCATGTCCTCCAAGATTCAAGGCAAGTGAGTGAGACTGACCTCAGACCTTCCTCGTAGAGCCATACTTCAAAGGCCAGTAAATGTGGGCCCAGAGGCAGCTCCAAAAAGGGTGTGAGAAGAATGAATGGAGGGAGGAGGAATGGTGGCTGATGACTTACCTCCTGAGATTTTCCCTGCCATCCACATATTTGCCGATCACAGAGCCAGATCTCTGCTTCCTGCTTGTCTTGGAAGCAGCTGTGTTTGCCTTGGCGGCCTTATCTTTCTGCAGAAACACAAAATGCCCTGAGATCCACGCCTGTGGATCTGTCTCAATGCTTGAGCAGAAGTGAGGGAAGGCTCTAGACAGGCCTCCAAATGAGAGGCAGGACAAGTTCTGCCACCCAATCCCCAACTAGGATTCCTCGGTCTCCTTTCCAGATAACTACTTAGAGAAGGGAATACAGAGTGGAGAGCCTGGGCCTCCTGTGTCTTTTGTCACAGGAACACTGGTAATTTGCAAGAGATCAAAAAAAGAGGACAAAGGTATTCACTGCATAAGGAAATATTTACAGGATCCAGAAGCTCCTGCATTTTGAGTCACCATTTTCCTGTGGCTCTAATAACCCTTGTCCCCAAAGTCCATGAGGTATCAAGCTAGGGAATCACCCAGAGGGGCAGTTAGCTCAGGGCTCTGCCCACCATACCCTCACTAGCCTGAGGCCTCTGCAGTTATCTATGGAGCAGGCTGGATATGGGTGAACATTCCAGATACCTGTAACACAGACCCTGAGAGGAGCCGGGCTCTGAACCCCTTTGCCAAGACTCTGGAACAGACGTCATCCAAGAGTCATGGGGCACCAGATCACAAGAAGAGCTCTGCCTTAATCAGCCACCCCATGCTTCCGGGACTCATAATGAGAGAAGGAACTGCTGAGCCCCAAGCACCCCCGAGGGCACAGCTTTAATGACTACAGGCAAATCTTCAATTACTATTCTGCATCAGTTGGGCTCTATCCCCTTTTCTTTGATTTCCTCCTGGTGCTCTTCCCTCCACCTCCTCTCTTTCAAAACAACATGAGTTTGTCAGGTGAGGGGATTAGGATGGCATCTGGTTGAGGGTTTAAAAGAAATCGGTATTTCTTCTAACACAATTACAATCGTTATCATCATCAGACGAACCACGCACGTGTAGGCTTAAGTCTGGCTCTGATGGTGCACACAGGTGGGCAGCCGACACAATCACTGCTGGCCGGTAATGTCAAAGAAACGGTGTTGACTGGCACCCTTGGGACAGCAGCCTAAGCCAGGCAGGGCCTAATTCAAGGCACATCAATCCTCAGAGGCTGAACGTGTTGAGGTTACTGCTCAGCCAACACCTTCTCCGGGGACACAAGTTCACGGCATGATAATCTTACAATTACGAAGTCCTATCCAGCTGCCCTGCCACTTCAGGGACTCCTGTGTGTGCTGTCTTAAAAGGGAGGTGAAGAAGGAGGCGCGGCATTCTAGAGACTCTTCCGTGCGCCACACCGTGAAGCCCTGTGACACTATTTGGGAAAGTATGCTGCACCGTGCTCAGGTACAGGAGAGGAAGGGGTCTGTATAGAGTAGGGGAAAGGTTGTACATGAGATCAACTGTGTAAATAGCTATGTGTGCATTGTAAATTTGTTTCTGACAGCATAAAGTTTGAGGCTTTCATCAGGAGATAAAAAATTTAGACAAAAGAGCAAACAGAGCGTTTCCCTTCAGGTGATGGGAATTTCACTGCGCCATCTCACGGATGGAATTGTCACATTTGCATCCAAGAAATGTATGGCTCTTCCAAATATTTGAGTCTGATTGTGCCAAGAGGAAGGCATTTCCCTTCATAGAAAATTTGTGTGTGGTTTTACCTTTTTATTGTTGCATAGTATCTCAGGCTTTCATCCTGCCTACATAGACAGGACCCAACATAATGTAAGTGCCAGGGCAGTCTTGATCAGTCCTGAAATTGGTCAGATTGCCCCTGGGCCTTGTCTAACTCTGCCCCAATCCAAGGAGAGCACTGGTAAAGCAATTACCTGAAAGTTTATGTCCCGTTCATCCCGGAGATGTTTGTTTCTCTCCCTGTGGACAGGAAGGGAAAGTTGTTCAAACATGGACTCTGCAGCTGACAGGTCCAATGGCATCCCATTAGCCAGCCAGAAGGATGTAGGAGAAAGGCTGATATGAAGGCCCAGGGATGTGGCTTTGGACAGAGGAGAGCTCATATGTAAATCCTCTCAGAGGCAGGGGGATAAGACTGAGTGTTCTTGTGACACGCTGCCCTTGACGAACACTCAGCCTCTATTATTTGGGGGGCAGGATGGCATATCCCCTTCCAGTGACAGCCAGGCCTTTGGAACAAGTCTGGGGAAGGGGTGTGGAAGGTAAACCCAGACAATGGCAAAGCGAGCTGCTCACACCTGAAGAACCGACCCTCTTGCTGGCCAAGCAGTAAGCTGGCAACTTGAATGAGGATTTAGAAGGCCTTCGAGCTCGCCCTTTCATGGCAACGCGTGCTTTCTGTTTTGTTGATATGTTCCGTGCAGGGACAGGAGCGAAGGTTAAGGAAGTCACACCTTACATTCTAGCCATGGTTCTTGTCTCACCAGCACTTCAAATTCCAGCAGTCCCCCCACTTCACCCCTCCCCCACCCCCTGCAGTCTCTCTCTCTCCTGAATCCTTGGTGATTTCACAGATGGGGAAACCTGCCATGCCTCTTCCTTCATGCCTGCTTAACTGTAGCAACCGTGTGACGGCACAGAAAGGCTTCAGGCATGTACACCTGAACCTCACAAATGCTGACCTCCGAGAGAAAGACTCATGAACACCTGTGGAGTGCCATGGGCATTTCTTTACATTCATTCTCTTTGGTCTGTGGTCTGTCCCTCCATTATTATTATTATTATTTCTAAGTACAATAGAATGAAGAAAAACAAGTTTTTTTTTTTTTTAAACAAATAGCTAAAACAGTGTCCTTAGGCATCTTGTTCTCTTCCTGAAGCCTCCCGAGAACAAAGACCTTGTCTCCAGTGGAGTAGGACACGGCCACTTGGGACCCCTTCCATCTCCCAACCAGGGAGGCCTGGTTCGCCTCACTCTAAGCAGAACACATCTCAAACAGCAGTGGCTTTTTTAATTCTTCCCCACTAAAAACATCAGACACTGGCCTCATCTTGCTGTCACAAAAGCAGACCCAAGATGTTTCAGACGTACCTGGAAATGATTCAAAACCACTTGCACTTTGAACGTGGCAAAGCCCTTTGTCAACACACAAGGCCATCAGCAGGTACACCTATAGAAAACCTAGAGGAACCCAAACCTTCCACCTCCTCCCTCTGCGTGTGCCTTTCTTGGTGGTGAACTTTGAGTTTACTGCAGTGGGTTTTAGAAGCTGGGGAAATCCTTTCTCAGCCCTATGTGTGATTCATTTACTCATTCCGTGGCTGAGGTAAGAGCCATCCAGACATGGATTTTATTTCTCTGACACCAAGATGCTCTTGGTTGATTCCAGAATTCAAAATACCTGACGGATTCGATGCTTTTGTTGGAGGCAAGAGTGTATGTATACTTGCCATAGAATAGCTGCCTATTCAGACCTACTCCTTCTCAACTAAGGGTCATGAACTGTCCCATAAGGACACTAAGGATGAGGCAGAGCCCGACACAAAGAGGGATGAATTTTAGGAGAAGGTGGGCACGTGAGTAGATGACTACATAGCTCCCAGTGGGTAGCACTCAGCAATCCAAGCCATATGCTGGTGGCTGGGGGAAGGGCAGGCAGGCACTCTTGATTACTGTGGGATAGATGTACACTATGTGAAGGTGTATTGCTGTTATTGTGTAATAAAAAGCTGAATGACCAATGCTAGGCAGGAGAGTACAGGCAGGGCTTCTGAGCAAAGAGAACTCTGGGAAGAAGGGGGTGGGGCACCAGCCAGACACAGGAAGCAGGATGAGCAGCGCAGAGATGAGGTAATGGGGCTCATGGAAGAACGCAGATTAAAAAATATGGGTAAATTTAAATCTAAGAAGTAGTTGGGAACAAGCCTAAGCTTAGGCGGAGCTTTCATAATGAATGCCTCCATGCCATTATTTGTGGGCTGGCAGCCCTGATGAGAAAATACTATTACACTTGGAATCAGTGTTGTTCCAGAGTACAGTCAGGGAAGGCCTGGACAGACGCACCTTAGGAAATCCAGCTGCTTCAGGAGGCCAGACTTCTCCCTCTGCAGAGTCTCTGTCACTCGGTACACTTCCCTGAGGAGGAGGCAGACACAGCCAGGTGAGTGGCAGTCATGGGAAGGGAGGAGGGGGCTCAGCTATGTCATACAAGGAAACAGCAGCATTTTCAGGGAGGCTAGGAAGGGGAAGATGAAGGGAGGGAGGGAGGGAGGAGGGGAGCTGGGGAGGGGGGAGGGGGAGGGAGAAGAAATGACAGAAGTGGGCAGCACTGGACTTAAGTTCACAAAAATGCCTCGTCTTTGCCTCTGTGCTCTGAACCTCGGCATAGAATCAAAGCACCTCTCCATCTCACCACCAAGGCCCCAGAGTCCCCATTTTCCACAGCAGTGAGGTTCTCTGGCGGAAAGTACCCAACAGCCTCATAAACTTGTCACTTTCCATCTGACTGTGCTCACCCGGCTGTGAGGACAGTCACCCCTCTACCACCTCTCAAATGTCATTATTGAGCAGTTGACATCAACATCCCCCTGGGGACCCTCCCACCAAGTGCCTGATAATTTCAGCCCTTAAGCGTCATCTGTGTCTTTCCTTTCTTTTTCTTTACAGAATAATTACAAAGTCATATGAAGACCATAACAGACTGAATAAAATTCTAAGTTCACCTCAGACAATCCTAATTAAGCAACACAACTCTGCCGGCTCCTGCAGAGATGTGGATTCCTCACACTTTATTACCAATTATATTTAATTTCAACTTAAGGGAAAACAGTGTATTATTTCCCATTATACAAACTGGGTCCCTGAGCCCCTGTCTGGGAATTTGCTCTGCTTTGCACAACACATACAGCCTTGCCTGCTCCTGTCTGGGTCCTGGATGCTGAAGAGGCCTGTGCCCAGCTCAGGGGGCTCTCCTACGCAGTTCCTACTGCTGTCTGTCAGGGACATCAGAGAAGTTGTCACTTGCTGCTGGCAGGAACTCACTAGAGGGCTGAGGTCTGTGTCTTAAGTGTTTGACGAGAAAGCAGTTCATAAGTCTCGTGCTATTTGGGTATTTTCTGCCTCTGTGTACAGCACCAGGACACACACACACACACACACACACACACATACCACTTATGCAAATACATACTCATCTGTCTGTCCAGTGAACACATGTATCTTTGGTGATCGGTATACATATATATGCACACATACAGATATAGCCAGCACAGTTTTTGTGTATTAACGAAAGGGCATCTTTAAATAGTGGCTCTTGGATATTTGACTGACTAAACTTTTAAGTCCCTCTGAGCTTGAGGTCACTTCTCCCTGAGTGATAGCAGACTGGGAAGAAGAGGACCAGCTGCCTTTTGTTATAATCCTTGGTGAAAAGTTGGTAGTTTTTCTCAGGGAGTTGCCGTTGGCTTTATTTTCAGGAAAAAGATGAGCTATGGATCATTCTACAAAATATGTTGTTAATTAAAAAAAGACAACATAAACCTGTATGTCTGGCTGGCTGCCGGTCTCTAAAGGAAAATGTTTGCATAAAAGTGTGTGTGTGTGTGTGTTTATGTTCACGCATATATTTATATGTGTGCATGTGTATAAGTCCTTACTTATGAGTGTGTGTGAATTTGTGTGTATGCGTGTGCTTATATGTGTGTGTATGAGTGTGTGCTTATGTGTTTGTGTGTATGTATGTATACTTATGTCAATGCATGTGCATATATTTATGTGTGTGCATGTGTTTAAGTGTATGCATAAATGTGTGTATGCATGTGCTTATGTGTGTGTATGCATGTGTATGTGTATGTGCTTATATGTTCGTGTGTGTGTGTGTGTGTGTGTGTGTGTGTGTGTACATGAGGATGTATTTGCACATGCACAGCAGACTCCAGGATCCAGAGAGGGGTCAGGGGAGGAGACAGACTTCTCTTGGGGAGTCATTCTTTTGTATCTTGTCTTAAACTGTATCTTTGAGATAAAAGTTAATTAAAAATCAGCTCAGAGGTGCAGCTTTTCAGCCGCCCTTCGTTTTTGTGTTATCTCACTGCTTGAGGGTTTTTTTTTTAAAATCTCATCCCCAAATCTAGTTTTCCTACCTTCAGTGTTTTCAGAGAATGGGAAAATTAATTTTGTCCATTTGGAAAGCTTGCTGATAAATGATTGTGTCTGTTTACTCCCTGTCTCCTCCTTACCCCCTCCCAGCAGCTCTGAAGCAACATCACATCACAAGACACCAGGGACCCTGGCAGAAGGAGGTTTGGACCCTGGCCTAATCTTAGCTGGCTGTGTGACTTCTCCGAGCTGCCGGTATGCCTCGGTAGAAATGAAGGCAGTGAATGGAAGCTGAGTCTCCATTCTCCAGAAAATGAGTCCCCTGGCTTCTCTGGGTGGGGAAGGCTCTCTTGGGCCCATCACATCCAGAAGACACTGCCAGTTCACAGTTCATTTCCTCCTCATGCACTTGCCTCCATCTTTTCAGAGATCGCATCTCTGGATTCGTTAAGGAAGGTTAGATGTGTGAAGGCTTCCAATTCCCTATGCTCAGCTGTGATGCTCCCCACAAGGCTTGTTTCCCTTCACTGTCTTAATGTTTCTGCCTTCAGTTGTTGGCACTTTTGATAGCTTGGTTGGATTTTGAAGTGCTTGACTCCCTAATTCTGTCATAAAGTTAGGTGCCTATGCCTTGGCACCCTACTCTCAGACAGAAAGAGCTGACTCCGCCTGTTGGTAATGAAACACATGGTCCCCGCAACACCAGCATCAAGGCAGTGGCATGGGGGCTGGGCTTCCTTCTAAGTCACCTTCTTGAGAGACATTCATTTATCTTACAATTTGAGATACCTTACTAGGGTGACATTTCTGGGTTAAACACATTTTGTCCCTCTCATCCAGTCCTTCCCAAAGGGTTCGTGGAAGCATTTTGGATGTACCCCACATTCCAGAATCTTGCCAGCACTCACATAAAGTCGGGGGCTTTCATTCTGAACAAAGGCACTTAGGATGTGCAGAGCCTTAGTGCTGGTCAGCCTATCGTCCCATGCCCTGAAACCAGACCACCAGTACCCTTGGTGTCTTTCAAGCCCACAATGACCCGTGAGTGAAGAAATGAAGAGTGACTGAACAGAGTGAGTCCTGATCTTAGCTGTGAATGGGTGTGGCTGGAAGGCTTATTATGCTCTCGGGTGTTAGTAGGGTATGTGAGCATTTAACATGTAACATCAATCAGACTGACAGTATACCGGCCACATGAGGATACAGTGTGATCGAATGAGATGAGGTCAAGTTCTTGATCTTGATGAGATGTGCTGAAGGCCCAAGGTACCCAGCATGGAATAAATTGCAATGCACATTTTTCAGGAGAGGATATCGTGAGTATGTAGGTAAATGAATGGCCAAATAAATAAGAGAGTTCCTGGCCTGGTCTCAGAGTCCTTAACTCTCAAAAATCTTAAGTCCCCAAAGATGAAGGGCTGCTTTGGCACCATGCCCTCCACTGTAGGTGAAGATGCATTCCATCTGCTGTCGGGCAAGGCTCTGCCTCTTTCTAGCTGCCTAAGCATAATGGCTGAACACTAAGAGCAGTGAAAGGAAGCCAAACTTTGAGAGATGTGGGCTTCCTTGTGGGCTCAGACAGTCTTCTCAGAGAAAGTACTGCTAGAAAAAAGATGGCTAGGGATTTATTCATGATTCCAGAGCCCTGTCACCATCAGTCACATTATCCGATGACCTCAGAAGCCTTTTCGCTTCTGAGGCTTCTGGTCTCTAGCCTTCAATGGGTACCAAGAGCCATCTGCTCCTTCAGCCTCTGCTTGGGCTGGCTTCTTATGTGTGGGTAGAATAGCCAGTCTTTCTATCTGCATAATTCATTTCCAGAGACCAGGGCCTTGATGACTAACTCTGATTGTCACCTTGATATACCTAGTAAGAGGGAACTTTAGTTGAAGAATTGCCTCCATCAGTTGGCCCATGGGCATGTCTGTGAGCCATTTCCTTGATTACTAACTGATGTGTAAGAGCACAGCCCACTGTGGACAGTTTTGTTCCTAGCAGATGTGCCTGGCATCTTCAAACAACATGTTGACGCTGAGCTGGAAAATGATCCAGTAAGCAGCACCCTCCCATGTTCTGGTTCAACTCCCACCTCCAGGGCTCCTGCCTCTTTTTGGTTTCCCATGAGGACGTACCATAACCTATAAGCCAAATAAACCCTTTCTACTCTCAAGTTGGCTTTGGTCAGTGTTTTAGCACAACAACTGAAAGCAACTAGGACAAGGGCTGTTTCTTGTGAATCTCTGGCCATACCTAGCTTTGCTTAGTAGTTGCAGATTCTTGGAAGAGGGTTAGAGTTCTAAGGAGCATCAGGAATGTGTGTGTGTGGGGGGGGAGGTCATGCTTGTCACCCCAGAATTCAAGAGGCGGAGGCAGGAGAACGATAAGATCAAGGGAAATCTGGGCTACACAGTGAGACTCTGTTGAAGAGAGAAAGGAGAGAAAGAAACCTCAACAAATAAGAATCCTAACTCTCCAGCTCACACACAGGCCAAGAAACAGATCTTTGGGATGAAAGATCCCAGTTCCCCACACGGAGCAGAGTAGCCCAGAGTGCCTGGGGCTGAACTCACATCTCCTTCTCCTGCTGTAGCTCACAGGCCTCCCTCTGGAGGCTCTCCAGCTGCTGCTGTGCATCCTGGAGTTCTTGGGAGGTGCGCTCCAGCTCACGGGCCAGCTCCTGGTTAGTGAGTCTCAGCTTGGTGTTCTCGGCCTTGGTTTCGTGCTTGTCATTGTGCAGAGCTGTGCACTGGCCTTCCAGCTACAAAGAGGGGATAGAGGAAGGATGAACAGGGCCATTGCTGGCTCAGCTCCACACTGTCTTCAAGCCCAAGGCAGCACTGTTCTGCTCCAGCACACCCATGCAGACATTTCTGCGGGCAGGAGTGACTTTCATAGAACATTCTGTCCTCCCAGTCTCCACATGGGACTGCTAGAGAGGCCTGGGGTGGCTCATTGTGTAGGATTGCTAGCAATGAAAATTCCAAAGATGACCTGTGTCTTCCCTCCCAAAGTCAACATGGGCAAAAGACCTCATCTAAGTCCCTTTTGTCCTCTAAGCCAAATCTTTGCCTTGGTCCCTAATGAGGATAAAGAACAGTTAAGTGGCCACTCATCACAAAGCCACCTTCCCTGTTGTGAACACAGATAGGAAATTTATCCATTTCTTTTCTCCTCTCAGAAGCCCACCTCCCTTCGTCTAAGAGACAGCTTTACCTGAGTCCCACGGATCTTAGAGATTGTGGAAAAAAAAAAAACCTAACCAAACCAGGTCAAACAGATCCCATGCCTTTTCTTGCATCCCTAAAGCAACTTAAAAATGTGCACGTTGATAACTTCAGCTTTTCTCTGCCGGTGAGTAGGCTTTGTTTGTGGGGCTTCCAACCCTCTCCAGACAAAGCAGCACACGAAGGCAAATAGATCATAATAAATTTAGTTTCATGAATGTGGCCAGTGAGGGGAGAAGAAGCCACAAGGAATGTCATAAGCCTCTCATGAGGCTCCTGTGTTATCAGGCAAGCGTGCAGTAATTAAATGGAGTGGCAATCTTTCATTTGAGGGATAAATTTAATTGCTATGAATTTGATGCATAACGGAGAGGACGAGAAGGAGGAGCCAGGCCATGTATGACTGTGGACCGAATGTGGAAAGGCAGCAGGCAGTTAGTTCCCAGGGTTTGCAGCCTCTTGCCACAAAGAAGAAAGAGGCCTAGACCTAAAGCTTAGCAATCAGCAGGGGCAATAGCCCCAGCCTCAGCAGGGGGATCTCTGAGCTTATGTTTGCATGTTGCTAAAAATACTCTTCTCTGATCCTAGGAAAGCCTTGTGTCTGGGTCTGTCGAGGGCTGGATTTCTTCCAGGACCAGGCAAACTGAGACTGGAGGCCAATGGTACCATGACTCCCCTCCCCCCATGACTTCTGGCTTTCCTGAGGAGGCTGCTGAGCAAGACACTAGGGCAACCTGGTGCCATGATCCAGGCTCCAGGCTCAGCTGCCAGCTTGCAGAGGGTACCACTCAGTTTGTTTCTCTGAGAGGGGAGTGGCCTGTGCTTGCTGTATCCCAGAGGAGGTCATGGGCTCTGTCCAGGCACATGAGCAGTTTTTTGAAGTCTTTTCCAGATGGAGTTTTTGTCCCCAGCTTTGCCGAAGAGGACAACTATGTCTTCATTCCCCCCTGAAGTACAAGTGTCTCGCAAGTGTCTCCGTACTCCCTCAGGTCCCTCCTTTCTTCTGCAGGATGCCTGACCCAACCTCAAGGTTTAGCATCCACAATTACCTTTGGGTGACTCATGGGGACTTTTCTAGGTTAGACACACATTCAGGGTCATCTGTGACTTGGTCTTAAATTTAAATTTTAAAATAAATACTTGAAGTAGTTTTAGCATTTTGTTACAGGACCTCGCTCTAAAGCGAGGCTCCACTTGAAACTATGCCCACAAGGCTATCCTGGAACTCACAGTCCTTCTGTCTCCCCAACGGCGCGAATACACGCATATATCAACATATCCACCTTGTGGGACTTGAAATGAAGACACAGGCAGACACACAGGTCTTCTCTGGGCAAGTTTAAAATCCATTCGGGAATGGCAGAGGGGGTGGGGCAGAGGCGAAGGCCAGCTGGCCGGGCTGAGGGACCGCGGAGTGTGTGGAGTCTGCACAGTAACCTACCCTGCTCTGCTTCTGGAGGAGGCGTTCCAGCTCCTGCTCCTTGGCACTCAGCTTCTTTTCCAGCTCCCGACTGCGGGCCTGGAACCTCTCTGTGTCCTGTGGAGCCAGAGGAGAAGACAGTGGGTCCTACACCCAGCGCATCTGGCTTACAGCCTTCAAAGTATGCACTCGAACTCCTTCATCAGCGGGGCCACCAATCCTCCTGAAACCCCAGACCTCAGCAACCCGCTTACCCCACCACTGAGGACCCATAAGACCAAGTTAGTGCTCAGAGATAAAGTAGGAAATGTGAGTGTGACCACATCCTGAGGCGGTGCCTTACCAAGCTTTCCCACCCAACATGAGGACCTAAGGACATCCATTGCCGGAGCAGAACAGGGAGAAGAGGAGCCTGAGTCTGGCTCATTGGCCAATCTCCCTTTTATAAATATCTAAGATGGCCTCCAACTTGGAGACTCTAGTTCACCGTAGACACTATCTCTGGTCCCTTAAACCACACTAGTTCTAGGCACAGTGCATTTAACACTCAGAGAAGTCCAAAATGAGTCAGAGAATTCATATCCAGAAGAGCCTGCGTGTGCTATCTACCTCCCCATGGGCATTACTCCTGCCTCCTGGAGGATGGGAGTGCTCACTGCTCACCCACCATGTTTCAGGTTCCTGGGCCGTGTTCCTCCTGATGTTTCTGTCCTGCATTCAACACCCTCATGCCCTCGCACCTCAGACTGGGCTTCTCCACAGAGAACTACTAAGTCCTGAGGGGACAGATGTGATGTCTGGCTGTAGTGTCCCAGACAGAATGCGGTTTCAGAGGCAGGCCATGCCCAGCAGAGCCAGGTCACTGGAAGGCTTTGAGGCTTTCAATCAGGAAACTTGGGGTTGAGTCCCTACACTGTTCATCTTGCTTGCTTCGTGTTTCTGGATTTCAACAGAACAGAAGCCGATAGCCCTTTGCTTCCAGCACTGATCCACCTATGCCCACCTATGGCAAGGTAGGGACACACCCACACACCCACCCACACACACACACACACACACACACACACACACACACACACACACACCAGGGATTACTGGAAGCCCCAGGATAGCCCAGGGCGGAGAGAAGCCTTTGAGAGGGGCTAGCTATGAGGTGTTACACTGATGACTACAGGGGTTATGGCTACCACATCTGGCAGAAAACAGTTGCTCCTAGCTCACAAGCCTTAGGCCACCTTTGTTCAAAGGCTCATGCCTCTTCTGGTGATGTGACCAGCTCCTCTGCTCACATCAAACAGATCAATGAGCAGAGGAGATGCAGGCAGACCTGTGTCCATCCTCATCTGAATCGTGTGCAATGGCCCCCATGGGGTCCACTCAGTCTCTGCCCTCACCTTTGTTGGGAAAAAAAATCTGCTTTGAGGAACCAGCTTAGTTCACTCAGCCTCTTTTCACAGAGCAAGTGCCTCAGGAAATATGCTAGGACAGCAGTCGGTTTCTGAATCCCATGCACCCATTCCACAGGGCACATATGTTATTAACCCTGTAGGGACATCATTGGCGGGTATCTCCCAGGCTGGAGTGGGAATTTTTCCTCATGATCAAATGTACTGACAGGGGTATGGCCAGCATCCAAACTCTGGCCAGAGGCTTTGGTCTTTTATATGATGTCACAGGCAGAAGCATCCTTATCCTAACTCCAGGGACAGTAAAAGTCTGCATGTAAATGTTTAATGGCACTGCCAAAGCCATCCTTGGAGCTTTCATGTTCCCAGCCAAAGTTCAAGTGCAAGCACTGAGCTCTCTGGACCAGGCATTTAGAACCGAGAAGGGAGGGGCTGGAAGGGAACACAGCACCAGAGCCAGATCATCAGAAATGATGCTAACTTGTTCTTCATTTCTTCCCTGCAGCCTCTGCTCACTCCCAGCCCCCATGCTTGAGCCCACCCTTTGTTTCTGGAAGCACACCTGAGCTACAGCCATGACCTGGGCAGCAGGGACAAAATGTCCCCAGAGCATGTCTCCTCTGTGTAGCCTGTCACAGGATGAAGGGGGTAACTTTCCTATTGCAGAGGTGGGGGAACTGGTGTTGTTGGAAGCTATTTTAGGTCTGATGGGACATGTGTGAATTCTGTTTGACACACACACACACACACACACACACACACACACACACACACACATCCAGTTTCCCTGAATGCTGGAACACTCAGAAGGGTTCAAAGCACCAAGCGACAATAGGGGTGGTCTGGAAATACTGGCAAGCCTCCATGAGCTCTGGCCAGATATTTCTGGAAGGCATTCTGATTTTCCTGCAGTGTGAATGGCATCTGTGATTATAAGTGGAGCAGCGGTGTGGATAATCCAAAGCAGCGGAAAATTGAAATCTGGATCAAGTGAAGAGCCTGGGACAATAGCCTGGGCTTAGCGCTGAGAGGCAGCAGAGGCTGCGACCAAGACCAGCGGCCTTTTGCTGAGAACTCGTGGAGTGAGGGAGACGGTTGCAGGAGGGAGGATAGTTCCCTGGGTTTCAGTTTTGGTTTTTCAAATAAGATGCAGCAAAACAGACCTTGCTTAGCTTGGGCTTGGTAGAGGAGAGTGTCTTCATCTTTCCAGTCCTCCGCTCCAAATATAACAGTAAAGGCTGGAAAGGTTTAGTGAAGGAGTGCACCAGGAAGGGGGTGCGCCAGGAAGTACAGGGGCGCACTAGGAACAGGATGCTCTGGGAATAGGGGCACATGGAGAAGAGGGGGTCATGAGGACCCAGGGTGCCTTAGGAACAGGGGTACGCCAGGAACATGTCTGCAACAGAACCAGGATACACTGGGAACAGGGATATACCAGGAACAGGGGCGCACAAGGAATGTGGGTACACCAGGAACAGGGGTGCAAGCATCACATTTCCTCTCTCGGTGCCGAGGATGGCGGTCTTGTTTTTCCTTGGTGATTGTATTTTCCAGTTGTCTAAGAGGAAAGGGTGGGCAGCCTGGCCTCTAATTGCTGTCTCCTTTGGGGCTGCTGCTTGAGGACTAAAATGGGCTGGTGTGTTTTGATGGGCCTGCTATACAGGTACAGGGCTCTCCTGAGTGACACCCAGTGTCCAGGTTGCTTTAGCTGCAAAAGTATGCTCTGTGATCCATCCATTCCACCCACCTTCTTTCCCCCTCCCTTCCTCCCTCCCCTCCTTCCTCATCTCCTTCATGCTCACCCTTTCTTCTCCTTTCCTCGCATACACCAATGATCCATTCATTTATCTTTTTCCATCCATCATCCCTGGCTCCCTCCCTCCTTTTCTCCCTTCTTTTCTGTCAGTTCATCCACTCACACCCCCATGCATTCACCTCCTTACCTATGCAACTACCTATGGGGCATCTCTTACAGTTCAGGCATGTGCTAAAGTCTCAGGCCAGGTTAGTAAGCAAATGAACTTACACGGTAGTAGGAACAGACAATGTGGTAAAAAAAAAAAAAAAAAAAAAAAAAAAAAAAAAACAAGTACATTGATAAATGGCCTGAACATTAAGGCAGAAGAAGGCAGTCACAGGAGTGTGCTGGGATCTTAACGGGGAAAGGTGTTCAGAGTCCGAAGGCCAAGCAGCCATGCGCCAGTGCCAGGCCTGGAGGACAGTACTCACTTTCAGGAGGAACTGCTCCCTTTCACTTCTGATCTGCTGTTCCATCTCCTCGTAGAGATGCTGCATTTCTTCATCATATGCTGCAATTTTCCTAGAAGTGAGAAAAGGAGAAGCTGACAGGGTCCTCCCAAACATCCTGCAGCCATAGTTCCTGGAGATGAGTCCCTGCGGCTGTGAATGGTTGAGGGGCTGCCTGTGTCAGGCCAGGCCAGGCTTCAGGATCCATCTTTCAGGACTGACTAACCAGACAAGGCTGCAGCTCACAGAGGCCAGCCGCTAAACTGCGACTTGGACCCTCCCCTGTCTTCCAGACCACTGCAGGACCACCCATGTGCTCCCCTGTGAAACTGCCCAGATCTCTTCCTGGACTCTGCTTTACTCCAGCACTCTTCAACCCTACTCCCTCTGATGCCTCTGCAGGGAGACAGTCTGAAGTCACACCCTGCAGGGATTCCTTGCTGCCCATATCTTGGTGAGTCCTATTTCCAGTTTGGATGCAGTCTCTGCTTCTCTACATCAACCCTGACACTGTACCAACAGAGGACCCTCGTGAAATTGTGAGCTTAAGTCCATGCCGTTCACAAAGATTTCATGATGACCATGTCCTGCTGCAAAGGACAGGGCCTTGTGCCATTCCAGGAACAGAGCCACAGATGAAGAGCAGGAGACAGGTAGCTCTGGTTAATGGCTGGTAATGACACTGAGATGACCTACCCCTGCTCTGACTCTAAGAGCCCACAGGACATGGGTAACAGGATAAGCACACGCCACTGTGCTTGGCTTTTTTAAATTGTGGGTTCTGAGGACGGAAATCAGGTAGGTCCTAGTATTTTCCAGGCAAGCACTTCACCAACAGAGCCCACGGTAACCTTGTTTTCATAACTTTTCTCTAGCCATGAACTGAGACTTTCTCTCTCTGGCCCCTACGTCCCATACTCCCCCCCCCCTTGTAGAAAGAAACCCAGCTTGGTATTGTGGCTATCAAGAACCATTTTGAATATATAATGCACACACACACACACACACACACACACACACACACACACACACACATTGTCACTTGCCACTCTAAACTCCAAGATGGCAAGCCCACTCTGACCTTCATGGGTGGCTACATTATTAATGGAAGAAGCAGCCCTCACTGTCAGCCCTAAGAAGTTACCGAGGAGACATCGGAACAAAATTTAAAGGATGGGAATATAAGTATCCCCCTGAGCCCTTCATCACTCTACCCACATCCACTTGGGACTCTGATCTAGAGCCAGGCTTCCTGTACTGCCCCAGGCTTTGCCATGGCCCAATCACTGCCCTTGACTCTTCTGGGGGAGAGGGCTTCACCACATGCACATATCAAGCAAAAAGCATGAGCCATTTTGACTGGAGTCCTTACAGCTCTTCCGAAAGTACACATTGGACCCAAACCAAAGAACTAGAATGAGAGCCATGGTCAGGGTCATCATCTCAGACTCTGAATTCCAGGTCACAGGTCTCCCCTGAGAGCCAGAAACTTGAAGCAATTGCACAGTGGGTTCAGAATGCATTGAGCAGGAGATGCTAGTCCTTCACAGACCAAGGCTGTCTATGAATCTGCTCAGCATCTTAGGAATGTCACATTTCCTCTGGGCAGAGTAAAGCACCTCTTCTTGGAAATGATAGGTGTAAGAGCTTGTTACTGTCTCTCTCAGCTAACCCATCCTAATAGAAAAAAAAAAAAGTTGTGGAAGGAAAGGACCATATTGTGAAATAGGATCACCTCAAGGTCAGGAGCGGACACTTTGGGCCCTGCTCATCTTTACACTCTTGAAACAGCCCAGATGCTGGATGACAAATGGCATCAAGAAAAACTTCAGGCAGCAAAAGTCAACTATATAAAAATCAGAGAACCAATGAAGTCGGACGAGAGCAACTTAAAAACTGATTTGGCTCTGCTAAAGCAGTTCTAATTAGAGTCATTCATATAAGCTGTTTACCATCTATGCCTAATGGCCATACCGGGCATTAATTCTATGATACCATTAAATGTATTATATTAATTTTGCTCTAAGTTTTACTTGGTTAAATTAATACTCTTGATGTTTTTCCATGCTTACATGACAGTTTTCTTGTCATGAATTAACTCATTTTACAACCATTATGAGAAAAATAAGTAAAAGCAGACAGTCTCTGACTAGTATCCAGTGCTAGCCCTCCTTTGCACAGTACCCGGTGCTAGTCCTCCTTTGCATAGGGCCAGATGTTAGCCCTCCTTTGCATACACCCAGTGCTAGCCTTCCTTTACACAGTGCCCAATGCTAGCCCTCATTTGCAAAAGCTGGTTCTCTTGCAAAGGAGTCCTGGGACTTTAATGGACAGCAGTGATGCTGGACCCGTCCAGACCACTCTATGGACCCTGGGAGATTTCTGCAGGCCCAATGACAACATGATCCTTCTAGGTCAAAACACACCAAGTCCCAGAAGATGAGAACATGAAGATGCTATTTTCAATAAGGTATCACTAAGCCTGCTCATCTCCTCAGTGTAACCTTGAACAAATGCTCTGGTGTCTTCCCTTTCAGGTAGCCTCTGCCTAACATTCTTTTCAGCATTGTCAGGATGGACCAAGGAGAGAGTGAATGCAAAAAGCATCCAGGACCATAATGCCCTTATAAACACATGGAGTCATTTATTCTTGTAATCGAGATCAGGAGCCGTGGGACAAGGAGAGGAAGAAGGTCTCCCTTTTACGGATGAAAGGGCTGGGTTTGGAAGAGCATCGGAAGATGAAGAAAAGGCTTAGATGCTAAGATCTCCCATCAGTAGAGCCCACCAGAGGCTCTGGCTGGGTGTATCAGGAGCTACAGAGCTGCAGTGTGTGTGTCTGCGGGAGCTCCACAGTAGCTGTGAGTGCTGTAGTGGTCAGAGACACCCCCAAAAGATCTGCGCATGTGTGGAGCAGCAGCCCAGCCAGGCATGCCATATTCTGCAGGCAGAGTAAAGAGATGTCCTGTGTCGTCTACTGATTCTGTGTGTCTCTGTCTCTGTGGTTTCAAACCCACTCCTACTGCACAGCACACGCAAACACAGGCAGATCCACCAGTCTTTCTGCCCTCACTGACTGATACCTTGTGCCTTCATTTGACCATTTTGCATGGGATTGTAAGTAGTCCTGGTCTATGTGGGTTTCACTGGTGGCTGAGACAGTCTGTTAAGTTGTGAGTGGCCAGACCTTTACATTAACCATAATGTAATAATGCGTTAACCTCTTGGACTCAGGAGGTTAATGCCGAACACCAGCAACAACCCACCTCACACTTTGGGTATCAAACTCAGATGCCAACAGACCTTAGTGAAGGAACAGTAGATTCCAATGAATTGAAGAATTCCACTTCTTCTTACTGGTATTAAATTCCTTTCCATGGGGTTACAGAGATGGCCTAGCAGTTAAGAGCACTGCACTAATACCATATGGTTTACTACAGCCTGTTACACCAGTTCCAGCAGATCCAATTCCCACCTTCTAGGGTACCTGTGTGAATGTGATGTACATGTGTGTGCACATATACATAAATAAAAATAATAAAACCTTTACAAGGTAACTCTTGCTGCTATTTACACTTTTTATACTTTCTGTGACTGGGGACAGGCCATCTTTCTGAGAAGTCCTGTGTTCTTTGGAATATTCTGAGTCACGTAGTTCAAGGGGATGTCTTGGATCAGGACACGCCTTTCTCTTCCTCCCTCCTTGTTTTATATAGAATCTCATTTGTAAGCCTCCCACCCCCAGGCCTCTTTGAACAGACTTAATCAGGCCACTGGAGCCCCCAACCATATGTCCAGTGCCTGAGTGTGATGTGTGCAGAGTGGCGTTGGCTATTGCCTCTCTTACTCTGGAAGGTGCATGTATCTATTCATGCAGCAGAAAATCAGCATTAGCTTTGTGCTTGACAGACACATGACAAACTCTATGTGTTGTTTTCCCTTTAAAGACAGCGCTGTTAAATTCTGACTCCCCAGCCTCTGCCTCTGTGTTTTGGCCACAGGAGAATACCCCAAGTGTCATTCTGTTAGATGCCATGTTTATTGGCGTTATGTTAATGAATCCCACTTGGCCATCCAATGTCCTCAGTGACCTTCTGTGTTTTATTGACATTACACATTTAGCCTCTGTTGAGAATATAAGCTAAATTATCCATGATACTTTTTTTAATGACTTAGTTTAGCAGAGAGTTGTTTTAATAATTAAATTTGTTTCTTTGATGACTTCATGTATGCATTGATTACTTTCACCTCCTCCCCATCAGCTCCCTCCCATCCCTATCAAGCTTTTGTGGATTGTTCTCTCTCTCTCTCTCTCTCTCTCTCTCTCTCTCTCTCTCTCTCTGTGTGTGTGTGTGTGTGTGTGTGTGTGTGTGTGTGTGTGTGTATGGGGCCCATAGGGAATGAACCCAGGTTTTTGCACAACCTGCCTAAGTACATTACTACCAAGCTATGCCCTAACCTCAGAAGAATATTTGTTAAGATGTGTTAAGATATACGAATTTTTATTTTGTTTCTTATTCTATGGTGTTATAGTAAAATAGTCCAGAATATATTGGGAAAGTGTTCATGGTTTGGAATCTATTAACCTTTTGTATGTAGCCAAAATCATTGTTAATTTTTATAACTTCCATAAGAAGAATACATATTCTCTTTTGAAGATGCATTATTCTACATTTATTCTTCAGCTTGCTGCTAGACAGTTTGAAATGCTTCCCGCCTTTTACTGCTTGCCTTTAATGCATTTTTGCCTTAATAATGTGTCAAATCTGAGGTGTTTCTCATCTTTGAATGATCTATTTTTAATCTAATTTTTTTCTGAAGGTTTCTCCTTGTATACATTACTGCTATATTACTTGGTGCATTAAAGTTTATATATTTAGAATTTTAAGGAGGAGTACTTGGATGCATGCATGCATGCCTCTGTGTGTGCCTCTTTCTCTCTTTCCCTCTCTCTCTCTCCTCTCTCTCTCTCTCTCTATCTCTATCTCTCTCTATCTCTCTCTCTGTTTGATTTGGTTTGAGACAGTGTCTTGCTCTGTAGCCCAGGCTGGCCCCACATTCAGGGCTATCCTC